GTGCTTCGTGAAGCTCTGAAACATGATACTTGGGGTACGGATGACCCCCCCGTTTTACAATCTTTTCGAAGTTTGAACAGGACATGAAGCAACACCACCACACCAAGCAACCCTCATTGGCGGTTTGGACAGGTTTGGGGATCTAACCCGGTTCTTGAATCATAGAATCCAGCAAATGGAAACAAAAAACAGCAAGTTGGATTTCCAAAGACCCGCCAAGAGCAAGTTGATTTCAACTGTAGAAGGTCCCTTGCTAATTGCCGGCTTCTTGGATTGCAGAGGGAAGCGGACACCAATCAACCACTGACCTTCTCGTAAACCAACACTTTGTCAATCATTGGATTCTCAAAAGGGCGGTGTTTGAAGTAGCCTCGAAGAGATCGGGATTATTGGAAGCCTTAAACATCAGTGCATGCAGACTGGATGGTTGCTGTCAAACATGCGCGGTAGGTGCGGTTGCGATCTGCTGACAACCTTCCGATAAGTATATATGTATATTATATTAATTTACAATCAAACTGGGCAAATGCTTACCTCGCGGGTGAAACAGTCTGCTCATGACCGTCACAAGAGCTCTGATGACCCATTGACTCACAGACCTGGACAGACTGCTCTAAGGCAGGGCCCAAAAAGATATTTTGGCAACTGGAGGGTGTTTCAAGATGAAGGTGCCCCTCCAGTTGCTTCCTTTCGGATTCCCAAGCCGCCCAAAAAGGGGTTCCTAGTTTGGACAGGGTTGCTCACTGGTCCAAACTACCCCAGAGCTTAGCTGGGCAGAGAGCCCATGTCAGCTGTTGGGGAAAAACACTGTAGGAATTCGGCAGGGGACTCCAAAGGCAAACCAAAATCAACGCATCCCGTGGTCGGTTTGGCTTGTTTCCCTGGGTATTTGGGAGTTGGGGGTGTCGATTCTTCGAGCCTCGGTACCCCCTTTCTGGTGGTAAAGGAACAATCAAAGGACAACCGAAGCCATGTGGGTAGTTCCTCCTTAAAACAAACAAAACAAACACAATGTCAGTCGATCGTTAACACTAAAAAGACATTGCTGAAAAACACAATCTCAGTCTCATTCGAATCCCTTCCATGTCTTGAAACTCGCCTTCTGAGTTTGCTGCCTCGCCTGCTCCGCAAGCTGCGCCACCGCTTTCACCTCCGCCTGGAGCCTCAGGAAAGCTTGGTGGCCGTTTCAGGAAGTCTTCCAACAGGAGCTGCTCGGTGCTTCCTTTACAAGACCCCACCGAGTGCAGGGATTCGTCTTTTCAGAAAATGGCGGAAACCTTGGATAACTTGTGAAGCTTCTTCAAAAAAAATGGAAAACAATGGACAAAATGGGGGGATCAACTTCAAAAGCACATATTGCTGTTGTCCCGACCAAACCCCGAGAAGCTTTTCTAGAGCCCACACTCGCGAAACCAATTTGTGGATTCCCCAAACACATCCAGGCGAGAAATCTCCGCTCGTGAGACTCCTTCTTGGAGGTTCCCCGACCGGATCAACAAAGGGACGAGACACAGAACGGGTTTGTCTGACAATAGGGAAACCCCCCAAAATGGGTGGTTTCCCTTTGGTTTCCCCAAAAAGGGTACCCTCAAAAAGAATATGTACCATAACTTGACAGGGTTGCTCCAAGAGCATCAGGACATTAGCGTGGGGAAGACGCCAAGATCATCATAAGGCACACAATCTACAACTATAACAATAACAATCATCATCCGAATCGTCATCAGCATCAGCATAATCATGGTCGCCGTCATCGGTCATCGTCATCCGCATCATTGGCATCACCACCACCACCGCCGCCTCCCCTGTCATCATTATCATCGTCATATCACCATCATCGTCAGCATCATCATCATCGTCGTCATCATCATCATCATCATCATCATCACCATCACAATCACCATCGCCATCACCATCACCATCCCATCACCATCACCATCACCATCACCATCACCATCACCATCAGCAGCATCATCATCAGCAGCATCATATTATTATTCTGCTCCTTTTCTTCTTAGTCTCCTTCTCTCTCTCTCTCTCTCTCAATCTGTCTGTCACTCTGCATCTGCCCCATCCGCCCATCTCGCACAAAACAAATCTGAACTACCAAGAAGCGTTTTCTTCGAAGGTGAAGGCGTCTTTTCACATGCCCCATCGCCTCTCTCTCAGATGATCCCAAAGCCTCCCCAACCCTTCCCGTAGTTTCTCCAGAATACGAAACTCGTGTCTTTTCTTCCTGAGTGGATTGCCCAAAAAACATCCAGGAACTTTTTGTGTGCCAAAAAGAAAATGAAAGAACCTCAAAAGCTTACCAACACAAGTCCAGGATGTCTTTTGTGTTTACCCCTGAAATGGCAACCAAACCCAACTAGGGACTAAAGTCCATGAACTCAGGGAATGACAAATCCCTCGTTGGTTTTTTCGGGAAAATGGACACCACCCGCAAACTGCGACTCGAGGAAATCCACACCATCCCCCGTCGGCGCCTGCGCAACTCCTGGTCCAGGTCCGCCTGGCCGGCGCCGCTTGTTTTTTGCCCCCAGCCAAGCGAGGCGGGAGGCAGGAACCTTGCAAAGAACGAGTTGGCGGTGGTCAAAAAAGGTCCCTGAAGCATCTCCCTCTAAAAAGCTGTCCCTCTAAAAGGCTGATATGTCCCACTGAATGGGAGCAGGTACCCATGGTCATTTGGGGGCAGAAATATTGATCAACCCCCAGGTGTTCCAAGAACCTTGGGCCGGTGGGCCACCCCAATCTTACTTCCAGAGTGGATGGGCCAACAAAAAGTAGCCAAACTTCCGTTATCAAATGTCTTTCTATTTGCTACTAAAAACGGTCTTCCCAACAAGTAAGTCCAGGAAATCAGGGAGTGACGAATGTCTCTTGAATCCTCGGCAGCCCATCCCGTCAAAGGAGAGTGTGTGCCAATATGGGACACGGCTGTCACTTATTAACTAGTGGTTGTTAACCCTGGGTCTGACTTCCGATCGAGAGGACTGGATCCAAAAAGTGCAAATAGACTGTTTACTCAAGTACTACTAAAAATGGTCCAAACCCAAAAAGTAAGTGCAGGCCCTCAGGGAGTGAGTGGTTCCCAGTAAGTTAGGCCCCTCCAAAAATAGCAATGATATTGGGCATGGTATCAAACTGACCCCTCGAGATGCTGGGTGTCATGCATCATATTGGATATATATATATATATACATATATATATATATATGTATATGCACATAAATCTCTCTCTATATATATATATATTCATACAACGCCTGCCACATTTCAACTTGCCCAAGGTTTCCAATCGAAGCTCCATGTACCTTTTACACACATATTATACATGTGTATATATATATATATATATGTTCATTTTCATTTTGTCCCGCTTTTCGTTTTGACCCGCTTGGAACATCCGCACCTGCCACATCAGCGCCCGGTTCTCCATGGCTGCCATCTTCTCCAGCCAAACGTTCACCTCCGCTTCGGCAGCCATCGGACTTCAGCGCTAAGCTGCACCATGGCGTGGCATCAGGGGCGGATGCCTGGAAAAACAGGCGAGGCCCGGCTATTTGGGGGGCAAAACGTCTTGGTAGGCTGTTCAAGAAGACGTTGGTGGGGTGACAAAGGACTGTTGGCATAAGAGTTTGGTGGGGTGGGCTGATAAGTTGGTGGATTGCTGAAGGACGTTTGGTTGCTGAAGGATTTGTGGGTGGTTGCAGGACACCAAAGGTCCCAAGTATTTGTGGGTCCAAAGTTTGATGCCTTCTCCTGCAAGTTCAATCTGCAGTAGGTTAGAAGTAAGCTAGACAATGAATGCAGAGATGCTGCAGCTGCAGTCAGCTGCATATATCAACGATTTAACAGGCTCAGGGTGCTGTGACTTGCTAGGTGGCTGTGCTCTACCTCAGCCCGAGGTTGGACATGTTACAATCGGAATCAACACCCTCCGGTGCCAGCAATATGCTCTGATTAGCTTGTTAGCATGGTCATGACTGACGTGGCAATGTTATGACTGGTGGCGGTGGGTTGTTGATTCAAGCTTTTGCTCGATCCATGCAGCAATGCGAGCGGGATCCAAATACAGCAAGGGTGCAAGCCGAATCTGCACACTTTGCTAGCAGAGCAAATCATGATTACCCCTAGGTTCACCTTGATCAAGGCTCCGTTGCTGTTGCTTGTGTGTGTGTGTGTGTCGTGCCTTGTCGAGTCGTATCGTGCCAAGTCATAATATATCAAATTATGTCGTGTGTCTGTGTGTGTGTGTTTGCTTGTTTGCTTGTTGGTTTGTGTGATGAGTGGGTGTGTGTTCCTGTGTGTGTTTGTGTTTGTGCTTCTGCGTCTCTCTGTGTTTTTGTGTGTGTGTGCTTATGTTTGTTTGCTTGTTTGTTTGTTTGTTTGTTTGTTTGTTTGTTTGCGCGTTTTTGTGTGGGGTGTGGGTGTGTGCGTGCTTATTTTGTGTTGTGTGCCTGTGCAACTGCGTGTGCGTCCGCGAGCTCAAGGGACAAACCATTTCCTCAACCAAAAGACCTGGAAACAAGCAAGGCGATTACCTTGCCAACGCTGAAAAGGATCCCGCGTCGACTCTGAGCCAAAAGGTGACATGTGAGGGGCTGACGAAATGGTGAGCCAAATATGGTCGAACCCCAGTTTGCACCAGATGTCATATGTTCAGAGTTGTTTCACATCTAGCTACTAGTCTAGCGCGTCTACCCGAAAAATATAAACTCGGTTTGAAGGAGACACCAACAAAACACACAATGGGCAAAACAACACGGAGGAACTACCTGGAGCTTCTGGTGCGTTGTGTTTTAAGGAACCCCCTTTGTCGGGCTTCCACCCCCAAACCAGCCCTCAGGAAAATGGGAAATATGACCAGCTCCAACAGGCTCCGCACGATGGTGCGCAATGCTCAGCTCCAAAGATAATATGTCCCACGAAATGGAAAAAAGTGACCCAATACATTTTGGGCTGACCAGCATAAACGGTTTGATGCACTGTGCACCGGCCTATGTCCATGAGCGGCATGTCTGCTTCCACGTCGTCCTCTTTGCCCACCATCTTCCTGGTCACCTGACCGAAAGCAACATCCCGCGATGACGGTATGCTGGAACTACCCCAGTGGTTGGCTTCCAGTTGCTCTGAAAACACCAGGGGGTTGGTCTTTCACCCCTACAGAGTTGTTTGCTACTTAGTGGGCAACATGACTGCTTCCAAACAGTTGATTAAAAAGTTACCGGTACGGGTCTCACAAGAGAGTGCTCGTATTTTGTTGACGCCCCATGTTGGTGCTTTAACTCAAGCCCAAAAGGGGCCAACGTAAAAACACACACACGCAAACCAATGCAAAAGGACTCATTTGCACAGCCTGGTTCCTGCGTGCCCAGCGAGAACTGCGATATTGACCTGTGATTGATACCTCCCTAGGTTTTCATCAAGGGGCTCGCGATGAGACGCAAAAGTCGCTGACCTTTCGTCAAACTTGAGTGTCCAACTTGATTGTTTAAGGGTCAAAAGCTACACCCTGGTGTAATTCTCCGAGAAACGTAAAATGCCCCATGGTGAGCTTCCCATTTAGGCCGCCCCATGCGGCAGGAAGTTGCAAGGTGCGGGAACCCAGGGAATCAAAGGCCCCCCATTTTTGCGATGGCACCACTTTGGGATCAGGGAAGCAACGGGAGAACGGCTTTTGGAGCTCTTCCCACAAGACAAGCCCTTCAGCTGCCACAGTTTTCACTGAACCCAGTTAAAGTTGACCCCAAAGAAGTTTTGGGGCTCACCGCGTGGCGATCACACTTCTGCAGCATCAAGAGTTCAAGAACTTCTGAGCACACCTTTTGAGCGTACCCCAACCTTCCCATGATGAACATTCCTTTCATAGGGGTTCTGGGGTATGCTCAAAGGTCGGCTAGAAAGTTCTTGAAAAAAAACCACTCACTCTCGTCGTGTTGGTTTTTCCGTGCAAACCTATTGGGAAACTAGCCATGTCCCCCAAAAGCAAACTCCGATAACTTGGCCCAAAAGGTGATGTTTGAAGGGGTTGCATTTTTTAAAAGGGAGTGGTGTTCAGGAAAACCAAAACCTTTAAGGGAACCCCCAAAAATGGTGTTTCCCTGTTGGGTTTCCCTTTCAAACCAACCAAATAGGGGTCCCCTCCCAAAAAAAACAACGAGCCACCCCTCCCCCCCCAAAAAAAGACACAGGGGTTCGCAGGTCCACCTACCTCTTTCGTGGTTGCTAGTCCCCCCCCCTCCAACATATTTTCGGGAACCCTGCGTCCGGCCTCCTGAATGGTGGCCCGAACCGTGGCAGGGTCTGGCCCCGACCTCGCCCGAGGAACGCTCAGTGAGGGGTCTAATGGAAAAACAAAGGTTACAATCAAGTGTTTTTGGGGGTCGAATGGCAAATCCCGCAAAAAATGATTGTGGAAGTGGAGGAAGGCAATTAACTCGGTGGCTGTAATGATCCCTCCGCAAAAAGTGATTTTCACTTTTTGTGGGTCCAATGAAAAATATGATCTGGTTCAAGCAAATTGCCATAAAGTATGGAGTCTTCAGGGAATGAGTTGAAATGACCCCTGTAAAGTATTCTCTGGGTCATTCCATGGAGGTACTGTGACGTTGCGAAATCAGTCTTAAACAAGTTATGGAGGTATGGAGGTCTGGAGGTATGGATCATTTTGGAGGCGTGCTTCTTTTGGGAGGTATGGCGGTTACTTGCCACTCGAGTGCCATTGTGTATCATACATCTGCATTTGGTCTACCTGTTGCTGTGGGGACCTTGTGTATATCCTCACCACTAGTGGAAGTGGGCAGACCGCCCTTCAAGTTGATGGTTCCGTGCCATGATTGGAGGGCAGGCATTTGTATCCTATGTCTAATGATGTTCTTGCATGCACTTACTAACTCACTGTCCAAAAGTATTTGGCTGACATGTCAACATATCCCTCAATCTCGGATTCGTTTGCTTCCTCATCTTCACCAGCGTCAAACTCATTTTCTTAAGGACCAGCAGGATTTGTTTTTGTTCTGCGGGCAGATGCTTCAAGACGTTATTACGCGCCTGTGTTCAACTTCCTGAAGTGCGTGAACAAGACGTGAAACGTGAAGTCCATCGCATCAATCCAGCTCTGGTCATTCTGGTCGGTACTCGGCTGCTGTTGACCCCCCTGCAAAAAGTTGAACTTTTCGGGGGAGGGGGGGGTTAGTGGAAAACGCCTTGATTTTCCAAAAAGTTAAAGTCTAAAGATCCAACCCGATAGCAGTCAAGGGTATTGTGCACAATGTCATTAGCTGTCTTTGGCTTCGAAGGTGCGTCACGAGGTCTTTGCGACACGCAGGGGCCAACTCCGCCACAACTCGTAGAAGAGACCACTGAGTATAGGTGATAGGTGTCCTCATGAGCAAAAGATGAATTTCCCTCGGAAACGTCATAAAATGAATGATAATCAGTAGAGAGCACATCTATTTCTAATCAACACATCCCCAAAAAGACACCTATGCCCCTGACTTTGACCAACCAATCAGCATTGGGTCGGGATTGCCGCTTCTGAAACGAATTCGTGGGATTTTCTTGCTTCTTCTGAAGTCGCGAGCTCAGGGTGCAAGTTTTTGGAGTTGGCACCTTTCTGATTTAAAGGCGGCAAAAGAACAAGTGAAACCAAGAGGTAAACCAACCAATTGCGGGGAACTGTTTCCAGAAACCATCCCATATGCGGGGAACTGTTTTCTCAGGCCAGGCAACGGCCAGCTCTGGGCTGCCGGGAGGTTCTCCGGTTCGGTTTCCTCTGCTCCTTTCATCCCGCTTGTCGCTGGTCATTGCTCAACCCCACACCCGATGGTGAAACCCTCAAAATGGCACTGGTTTTCTCTTGGTTTCCCTTTGAAGCCAACAAAAAAGGGTTCCGAACCCCAAAAAGACGAAACAATGTAAGATCCCCTGGTTGACGATGTTGACGTGCCAGCACCAAATTGGTCCTTGCCAGCGGATCCGGGTTCCACCCCATGCCAACTTCCCCGAATTCTGGGCGCTGTGCACCATAGCGGGCATCATGGCTGCCTTGGGCGCCGAGAGTTGAGCCGTGCGTGAATCCCAAAGCATTTGCCAACACCACACTTGCGCTATCCAAATGGCTTCGCAGAACTATGTGGGTGGCGTGTGTCTGATTTCTCTAGGAATTCGGACCCCAAAGTGGCTCCGCCGGCTTTCCTCTTGGTTTCCCCGTTGAAACCAGAAAAAAAAGGGGGGAACAAAAAAAAAAACGGGTACAACTCGAGAAAGAATCGACACCTCCCAGCGTCTAAGCCTTTGGGTCCGGCAGGCGCAGAACAGAGCCTGTTGTTTTGAGCAGGTTTTTTTCACCAGGGACCTTTGTGTAAGCATTTAGGTGAACAAATAGGTAACCACCAGCCACTTTTGGGTGACTCCCCATTAAAATTCATAGCCACAAGTTTGGAGATCTTTTGATATCATCAAATTGGAGCACAAAAGGGAGCGTCACTGCAAATTCAGTCTTAACGGGCTTGGGCCGCATCAGCTATTGTCAAGACGCCTCTAAACTGTAACATTAGTCAAAAAACAGAATCCCTCACTCACTTCCTGAGTGATTGGCAAACCAAAGTACACACTTTCTGTTTGCAGCTAACATTGTCTTCCTACAAAGTGTAAAAGTTTAGGAAATTAGGGAGTACCCATTTCGATTTACACTTTAGGATCCAATGAAATTGCCACCTGGGTTTGTGACTGTATATGGGGACCCACAAACTCGTGTTTTCCCCTTCAAACCCCCCAGAAAAGGGGTGCCCTTAAGAAAAACGAACCCGTTTCGGCTCCAATGACGTGCGAGGGAATGACCTTCCGGGCTTTGGGAATGAACCGGTTTGGCAAGGAAACCCTTTGGCTTATAGCGGTTCCATTTCTCATTCCCCTAAAGCAAGATGAACTTGCCAGCTTCCTTTGCTTAAGCTCCCTGAAAAAAAAGAAAATGTGTCTCAGTGAAATCGATTCCCTTGAAAACCATCAGCAAATGGAAGATATGGGTGTGTGTTTTAGAGGACCTACAGAATAGTGGTTCTCCTTTTGGATTCCCTTTAAAGCTAAACAAAAAGGGCTCCCCAAAACAAACACACCATTATGTGGCCACCAAGAGGACAGTAAACTTGGGTCCCCAAGACTTGCGACGTCGCGTTCGCCCTCGGCGCCCGCGCCAGGCGTGGGTCAAAGCCACCGTAGGTCGCCCGCGCGGAGGGGGCCTCGTCCACGCGGAACTCGTGCACGCGGAGGCGGTCCAAGATCTCCTCCTGGGCGCATGGTTCGATGGCTGTGGTTTGTTGAGGGTACCCTTCGAAGGTGAGAAAACAGGGACACCCCAGCCAGTTTCGCAGGTGTCTTTTGCCGGTTTGAACCTCACCTTTTGGTCGAAATTAGAATTCAGGCGTTCAAAGGGGAGTCAAATATAGGAAACCACCAGTTTTTCTTGAGGGGTCTATCAGGTGCCACTTCACGTGGGAGCGGGTACTTTTTCCATTGCCACCAAACCTGAGGACTATGGGACCGCCAACTGTTGGCTTCAACCTGAAAGGGATACCAACTCGAAGAAACAAACCAGCCTTTGGCCGTTAAAACTTTTTGGGAACCAATAACGAGTGGACTTGTTGCACTGGCAATAGTCACACCCATATACGTATGTGTCAAAGTAACACCCCCTCCCTCCACATATGGCTTTCAGCTTGGGCTTCCCTTTTAAATCACCTTCAAAAGGTACCCTCAACTTGTGGAATCCCTAAGGGGGGGTAGGTGAGGTACGGGGAGTGGGTAGTTGAAAGCCCCTTTCGGGTTGATGAGAGTTCCCTACAGTTTTTCGCGAGAGTTTTAGAACAACCCCCCCCCCCGGACCGTGCCTTTTAGGGATTCCATAACCAACAAGTCACACCTGCATCTGGGTGAAATGTCGGCGTTTTGTACCTACATGGGTGCGTCTTGAAATAGGGGACCCCCCAAAATACTTGGTTTTCCTTTGACCTCCCTTTAAGCCGACCCAAAAAGGGGTATCAACAAAACAAAAAAACGAGCCATCCGCCATGGATTGCTTCGTGCAGAAGGTGTCTCCGTTGCCTTCCAGAAGCTCAGAAGCGCTCAAAAAGCAACCCCTTTGGATCCGGCTGCCCATTTGGGGTATGGACGTCTTGACCAAACCTCGCTTGAGTCCGTATCAGAACTGAGCGACATCAAAAAACTGGTCCATCTAACAAGAACCCCAAGCAGTCAGTCTCAAAACCGATCGGTATCAAAATGATCTACCCAGAACCGTGCTTCAGGAATTAACAAGGCGTCTGCACCCATTTATGGTTGGGAGTTTCCCATAACCTTCATCTACCCTGGTTTTGATTGTGGCCACTTGGACTTGTCCAATTTGAGACTCTCCAACTTGGGTCCCGCACCACCTTGGCCTTGGACGCGGTGTCTGCGTCTTTCAGTAGCAACTGCGCCTGCCTGGCTCCATTCAAAATTGGGGGGGGAGTGGCCGCCAACTTCATCTGTACGCCTTGGTCAACATTCCAAAGGGCATCATATTACCTTGGATCAATGGGAACCAGGAACCTTGCCTTTAATCAAACATGCGCCTTGGATACTTCTAGACAAAACATTCCAAAAAAAAAACGCCCACTCGGCTGGGTCAGCTCACTGCCGGGCCCCGTGGCCTCGCGGCATTCAGCGCATCCTTCAGCTCCTCCGCCTGAAAATGGAAATCTCTCAGGGGAATCCGCGAATTTTGCCACCGGCCTGCGGTGTCCTTTTGATGTCCCTGTCAAAGGTAAAACTTTTAAAACCCCAAAAGGTACCCTCAGAACAGGCCACATGCCAATACGATTGCATCACAGTACTTCGGCAACCATGGGAGTTTGTGTTTTCCATTTTGTCGGCCTCACACCCTGAAGTGTCCCTAAATTTCTAGGACAGACAAAAGGAGACTCCCGGAAGCACCCGCAGCCCATCGGAACGAACCTCAACACCCTCTTGGTGTTTCAAAATCGGGGACCCCCCAAACTGTTGTCTTTTGTTTGGGTTCTCCTTTGCCGTCATTTCACTAATTTCCAACATCTTGAACATTGCTTGTTGTTTGCCTCGTTGAACTCGCCTGGTATTGTCATTGACACCCATTGGCACCCTGGCAAGTACGTCAAGATTGAAGATGTGTCCCTACTCGCCGCACTTCGACCATGGGATGCCGAGATCCGTGGGTGGGATCACTGTGTTGCTCCGTGCGATTGACAAAGGGCGGACGTCCAGGTCCTCATCTGCCCCGCAAGGAAGTTGAGCAGAGGTGTCGGCATTGAAAGCCAGGTGTGCAGCGCAACAAACCATCCGTTCAGGCCCGGGTTTCCTGTGTCCCTCAATCCCCTCAAAGAAGGGACACCCCTTGGTTTCTCAAGGGGATTTACCAACCCGGTCCGATGCAGTGCTTGGTTGATTTGGGGGTTGATCAATATTCTGTTCGGCCCCAAAATGAGCGTGGGGGAGCTGCTTTTTTTCCCTTTTTGTGTTGAAAGTAGTCAAATTTGTGTTTGTGGCTTCCCTAATGGTCACCCCATGCTCACTTCCTGAGTGGATTGGTTTGCGCAACAAGGTCAAAGCCCAGGAACTCAGGAAGTGAGCAGAAAGCGGATGGAACCCAGCAAGCTCCTTACCAAGACCCAAAAAAACGCCTGCTGTCTGACTTCGATTTGCTGTGACCCCATGTAAAGGACCTTTTCATCAGCCCCCAGTTCGAAGATGCATTGGGAAAGGGGAGAATCCAGTCCCTTGCGGCTCTGGATCCCCGTGTCGAAGCTGCAGGGTGAGAAGCACAGGTCAACGGGTGCTTTTCTGGGGGGACCTCCCATGGCCCTGTTTGAATGTTTCCTTTAAAATCCACAAGAGAAGGGTACCCTCAAAAAACACACCCAAACAAACCTTAGACTCACCCAATACTTAGGCGCAAGAAACTCTGAAAAATGAACGTCCCGCATGCGCGATCAAACATTGTGGGTGCTTAGGTCCTCATGTGACACGTCCATCTGCCCACATGTCGATTTTCAACACCTTACCAAGCTCTTCCTGAAAAGTAGTGGAATCACCACAATGCTGCGCACCCAAGTCACCACTGAGCCCATGTCCAGAACTAAGTAGATTGCTGGACCTTCCTCAGCTGCTCTTGCATCTGGCTGCTGTCGCCTCCAGAAACAGGGTCACCCAATGCTGCCCAGATTGTAGAATGGCAGCAAAAGAGCAGCTCTTGCACCTGGCTAACGTCTCCGCCGCTGATTCTCGCGATGCCCCATGTCACAACAGTTCCACATTCAAGAATGACGGAACTCATCGTCAGATGATTGGAGTTGTTGGACTTTTCTCAGCTGCTCTTGCATCTGGCTGCTATCGTCGCTATGATCAGGGCCGCGTCGCGACAGCTCCGGATTCCAGTATGGCGGCAAATGCACCGTTAGTTGCCTGGATTTGCTGGACATTCCTCAGCTTGTCTTGCACCTGGCTGCTGTCTCCACCGTGTTCAGGATCACCCCATGTCACAACAGCCCCAGACTCCCAAATGGCATCAAGCGCAGCGGCAGTTGATTGAAATTGATACATTCGTCAGCTGCTCTTGCAGCTGTCTGCTGTCTCTGCCAGAATTTGCATCACCCCAAGTCATCATAGTTCCAGACTACAGAATGGCAGCACAAGGACCAAAGAGAGTTGCTTGGATGTTCGTCAAACATTTGTATGTACATACGTGTGCGTACACTTGTTCGGAATTGTTCCCTGACTCTGGTCATAACCTGGCTTGCGCATGGCTAAATCAAGTACTCCGCGAAGGCTCAATCATCATGCGCCATTTGCTTGGCAACATAGCATCATGCGGATGAAGGAGCATCTTCCTCGTCAGCTGAGAGCTCCCCGTCAAGCCCTATCAGATGAGTTCAAACATGAGCCAGCGCCAAAGAATGAGAAGAGTGGCGAAGCCATGGCTGCATCCTCACTCACAACGCACACCATTCAGGGGCTCAAAGAATTAAGCCACTTGCCCGTTCTCGGGATCCGTACGATCTGGGGCTGACGACTGGCCGGGGACGTGTGGGCACGATGCACTGCACAGGGTCCAAACATCCCCAGCCAGGCTACACACCAGCATCCGCGTGTCTGAGAGGCTGCTAGGCTGATGGCAGGATATGGAAGTTGATCAATGTTCCCTTCGGCCCGCGAATGACCATGGGTAACTTTTTCCATGTGCAAAACATATCACATTTCAAGTGGTCTCCCCCCATGTACAATATATTTTGATCAACCTCCATATGTTCCTGATAAACCTTTCCAATTGAACCTGGAACCTCATCTACGAGCCAAGTATTACAGTATGCGGGAGTTGGGTTAAAACCAGTGGAAGTGCTTCTCCATCACTTGCAAAAGAGGTTTTCTGGCACCGCCCTGAATTGAAGACATTTGAAAGTTCCAAAGTTTCTGGACAAGTCAGAAATTGGGATCAAAGGTCTTCATTTGAGACCAAAACAGAACGCCCGTTCCGGTTCTTCCTGCGAATTCGCCTTGCAACGAATTTTCTCGCACGCTGCTTCCGTCCCAAAGCCCGGGGCCACTGGAGGGGTCATGAGCCTTATGGATACCCCTTACGTCCGTTTTCGGTGGAGTGGTGTTGGAGAAAACTGCTTCTTTTCTTGCAGACAAAAAGTAATTCCCCCTTTTTTTGTTGATTTTTGGAAAACCTGGTTTTCCAGGGTACATGCCTCCTTTCTTAGTCAAGGACTAACATCATACTCTATTATACCCTGAACATAGTAGGTATTGGGTGTAGGGGTTGGCAACAAGTGCAGCAAATTAGAAGAAAAGGCGAGAATGACCAAAAGGTGGCTCCTTTGCCACCAGCGTGCTGAACAAAATCGGCCATCAATTCGTCACCTCAGGAAATTCCGCTAGCTAGCGCTGGTAGGGGAACTTACCACCATGGCTTTGGTGTCCGGGGCATCCTGGCCGTGTTCCTGGAGCTTGTAGGGAACGAGGCAACCCGGATAAAACCATCCTAGACCTTCGTCTTTGAAAAAAAGGCGCTACAAGTAGTTCCTGCCTTGGACTGGAAAGTTGAGTGCAATTCGCGCGGCCTTTGATAGATTAGGGGTAGATCCCTGGGGTCAATGACTGCGCCCAACATCAACCGAAGTTTGGAGGAACTCCCACAACCCCGATCACTGCCCCGGTCCATGGAGAAACATCGAAAAAGCTGGACGACATATTGTACACAAAACACGCCCAGGGAACTTGCCGAACATTGGAAATATATGTGTTAACCCACACATGGGTTGCCTTGGTAAATGCAATGGACTGAAATATGCGGTCCATATCCTGGTTCAATTCTGAACCCGCCCCCTCCACCACCAACCCCCCCACCCCCCCCCAAAAAAAAAACCAACGCCTGGAGGTGAACTTCCGCCTTCAGCAGCAACGCCGTGCCTTCGATCTTGGGCTCGCCACCCTGGCGGTTTGCGCGGAATCGGGCGGTTTCTTCAGCGTCCCTTGGGGTTCAAAACGGGATGCGACCATTTGCAAACCGTTGTTGGGTTCAGGGTTCCCTTCAATTTAGCTTGTTTGGTACTGCATCCTGTTCCAAATCACACATTTGTAAAGTGAATTGTAGTCTTCCCAAGTCCCTCCGGTCCACTTGGATGATTGTTGGAAAGAGGGTGAAATGAGGCAACGAATACGAAACTGATTGCCAACCTGAAACGAGGCAAGAACTCGAACGGCGGACACACTGAAGAAAGGGCAGCAATTGAACAAAAACCAAACTTTGAAATAATCCCAAGGAAAGGACTTTCATGGAACTCGCGGTATCTCGACTTGCGTTATGCAGAAGACGTGCTCAGGGCATTCTTCTGTGATACATATACGATGGCGAATGCAATTGAGCAAGCAAAGGCCATATCTGAATTCAATCTCGAGGCCCCGCTATTGCAATTGGCAAGTGATGTTTTAACACGCACCTACGATATATAGTGGGTCTCTCTCTCTCTCTCTATATCCGCCGACATTGCTCGGCGTGTCGGATACTTACTAGAGGATAGAGGATAACCCCCCCCCTAACCCCCCCCCGCCCGACGTCTATTACGTAGGTTTTTTGGGGGGGAGGGGGGGGGGGGTCCCCCACGTACCGCGCGGCAATTTGATGACGTTCCACTAAACGTAGTCTTCGGGGAGCCGGTGTCGCAAAACAGGGGTCCCAGGCTCGATTCCCCCGGCCGGCTTTTTTGCTGGGTTGGGCTTCCTGCATCCTTTTGCCGAAAATCTGGAAAAACTCAATGATTTTGGACGCCCTCTTTGCGAAAACGCTGGAAAAACCGTGTTTTTTTGCGGGAAATACTGAGGAGCAAAGGGGAAGTGCAAGGATACATACATACATACATGCATACATACATACATACATACATACATTACATACATACATACATACATACATACATACATACATACATACATTACATACATACGTACATACATACATACATACATACATACATACATACATACATACATACATACATACATACATACATACATACATACATACATACATACATACATACATACATACATACATACATACATACATACATACATACATACATACATACATACATACATACATACATACATACATACATACATACATACATACATACATACATACATACATTACATACATACATACATACATACATACATACATACATACATACATACATACATACATACATACATACATACATTACATACATACATACATACATACACATACATACATACATACATACATACATACATACATTACATACACATTACATACATACATACATACATACATACATACATACATACATACATGCATGCATACATGCATGCATGCATGCATACACATACATACATTACATACATACATACATACATACATACATACATGCACATACATACATACATACATACATTACGTACCTACATACATACATACATACATACATACATACATACATACATACATTACATACATACCTACATACATACATTACATACATTACATTACATTACATTACATTACATTACATTACATTACATTACATTACATTACATTTCATACATACATACATACATTACATGTACATACATTACATTACATACATACATACATACATACATACATACATACATACATACATACATACATACATACATACATACATACATACATACATACATACATACATACATACATACATACATTACATACATTACATACATACATACATACATACATACATACATACATACATACATACATACATACATACATACATACATACATACATACATACATACATACATACATACATACATACATACATACATACATACATACATACATACATACATACATTACATACATACATACATACATTACATTACATTACATTACATTACATACATTACATACATACATACATACATACATACATACATACATACATACATACATACATACATACATACATACATACATACATACATACATACATACATACATACATACATACATACATACATACATACATACATACATACATACATACATACATACATACATACATACATACATACATACATACATACATACATACATACATACATACATACATACATACATACATTACACATTACATTTACATACATTACATTACATTACATTACATTACATTACATTACATTACATTACATTACATACATTACATTACATACATACATTACATACATACATACATACATACATACATACATACATACATACATACATACATACATACATACATACATACATACATACATACATACATACATACATACATACATTACATATGTACATGCATGCATACATACGAGAGAGGGAGAGTGGGGAGAGAGAGGCTTGGGGGGATGGGGAGGATGGGAGCAGAGGGAGGGAGAGAGGACGACAGAACACACAAGGGAGACAAGGAAGAGAGGAAGAAGGAGAAAAGGGAGAGGACAATGTCGGCGGACTGAGCCGGAGGCTCTAAAGTATATATATGGTACCCCCCCCCCATTGACTCTGATTTTTTTGGCTGCATGACTTTAAAAGCAATCTTGGGTTGTCAGCCCAGGGGGGAATAAGGGAAATAAGGATCCTTATTCCCCTTATTCCCCTCAAACCCAAGAACCCAAGAACCCAAGATGCACAGAGGACTTTTGGAAGCAATCTTGGGTTGTCAGCCCAGGGGTGGAATTTGGGGAATAAGGATCCTTATTCCCCTTATTCCCCTCAAACCCAAGAACCCAAGAACCCAAGATGCACAGAGGACTTTTGGGAGCAATCTTGGGTTGGCAGCCCAAGAAAAAAGGAAGGGACATGAGGATGCTTATTCCCGTTCTTACCTTGAAACCCCCCAAGACTGCTTCCAAAAGTCCTCTGTGCATCTTGGGTTCTTGGGTTCTTGGGTTTGAGAGGAATAAGGGGAATAAGGATCCTTATTCCACTTATTGCCGTTTCTACCTTCAAACCCAAGATTGCTCCCAAAAGTCCTCTGTGCATCTTGGGTTCTTGGGTTCTTGGGTTTGAAGGGAATAAGGGAATAAGGATCCTTATTCCCCTTATTCCCTTCCTCCGCTCAGACTTGGCCTTTGCATCTTGCCAAGAGAGTCGAAATTCTGCTATATTCAGCTCTCAGGCAGCTCAAGTCCTTATTGTCTGTCTCCTCCTTCTTTCTGCCATGGCTTCCTTTGACGTGGTTGGCAAGGTCAGGTTCTCCAATGGCGCAGCCGAGCTGCGAATCCAACCAGCGTCTAGCCCTGCTTCATCCCAAGCTTACAAAGTCGACAAGGAGAAGCCTCGGGTCACTCTAGATGAAGTTCTTGAACAACACGAACGCGGAGCAATCAAAATTCATGACAGCCGGCTTCCATTGGATCAACGCGCCTTGCGTTCCATGATGTACAACACACAGAAAACTCTGAACATCGAGCCCTTGGGCCACATGGGCAGGTGGACAGAGGAGTGTCACGAGAAGCTTCTACGTGACCTGCAAGCACCTAAGGGCCATGTTCGGGGACGCAAGCGTCGTGACCGGCTGGCCATCCTGGACGCAAACACCCAGGACCCGCTGCCAATCCAAGACGCCCCAGTCCAGCAAGAGCAGCAGTTGGCCGAGGACCACCAGGGGACCTCCGAAAAGGATGAGGGCATGTCCGAGGACCACCATGGGATCTCCGAAAAGGATGAGGGTGTGTTTGAGGACCAGCAGGGTGTCTCCAAAAAGGATGAGGGTGTTTCCGAGGACAACCATGGGATCTCCGAAAAGTATGAGGACGTGTCTGAGGACCAGCAGGGTGTTTCCAAAAAGGATGAGAGTGTTTCCGAGGACCACCATGGGATCTCCGAAAAGGATGAGGACGTCTCTGAGGACCAGCAGGTGATCTCCGAAAAGGATGCGGGCCTCTCCAGTCAAGAGCCACCCCACCAAGACCAAGACATGCCTGAGAATAATCAAGGTCACTCTGAGGACTCAGGCGACGACTCCTCCTCAAGCTCGTCGTCTTCAGATTCATCTACGCCCACACGAGCTCACAATGAGAGTGTCTCCGCGCAACTCGAGCTCAAGGAGCTTGAGTTGCAAGAGGCTCACGCTCGCATTGAGATCTTGGAGGGTGACATTCAACAATATGAGTGCGAACTTGAAGAGCTTAGGGCACATTTGGCTGAGGAGCGTGCCTCAAAGAGGGCCAGGAAGTAGAAGCCTGTATAGCTGTCAAGCTGTATTCAGAATCTTCTGTAAGTAACATAGCCATCATTGGCAGACGGTACTATACATGTGCACATACTCTTGTCCGGATCTGTTTTTGTGAGAGGTGACAAAAAAGATGTCTGCTTTTGGTTGCCTTTTGGTGTGGTAGCTTGCAGCAGGACATCATGGCTTGCACGAATGCATGACATTCCTGAGTTTGATATGTGAACCTGTTGCTTTCCAGCTTAGAGTTTCCAAGTAGTTGCCCCTAAGTCACACCATCTTCTTATTCCATGTCCAGCATGTTAGACGATGCCATGGCCCTACACTCCGGCAAAGAGTGGGTGTATGAGACCCACACCACCCCCAAAATGGCTTGGCACTCTCGTGGGGAAATTTCAAAACCCATCCTCTTGTCAGACTTCTTGGACAACTCATGTCGCAACTTGAACGAAGCGAAAGTGACCTCCATAGCCTTCGATGTCCACAAGAATGTGCCAGAATTTAGCGGTCTTGCTCAGATTGGGGAGCTTCTGTCACAAGGCAACATCGCAGATGTACCCTTTCCACTACGTCTTCAAGGGCCTCTTCCTCCCAAGGCAACCATGGGCGTCATCATCGAAAACCACCATGATGGAACAATGTCTCTGATCAAAATTCTGCACTTCGCCAACAAGATCACTGCTGCTGCCGCCCAGCGCCTGATCACAGGAGAGGGCTTCGTGCCTGTGTCACGCCCTGGGCCATGGGCGCATCGCAAAGCTGTCCAGTCCTTACTGGATCGTCTTCCCGGCTTTCGCGTGATGTGGGCGAGCCTGACAAAAAAATGGCTCCTCTCCAAAGGGCTCAGTCTTCTCAGTGGGCACCTGATGACGAGGCGCTTAAGGAGGGCATCTTGTTCATCAATGCCAATGCACCAGAATGTGACTCGCAGAATGAACAGACCTATTGGATCCTATGTTCCATCAAGGAGGGCTCTGGCACACCAGTTTCTGGGTGGCCAGAAGCAAAGGTCAGATTCATGGGTGGCCCGGCCGGAGCGCAGCCTGAGACTGACTTCCCCCTCACCATGTTCAGCTTGAAGCCCTTCATGTCTGATGTTCTTTTGCCAATGGTTATGCCGATGTTGCTGACTTATGGCATCATGATGGTGGGCTTACCAGGCGTCGGCAAGACACCCTGTTTGATCACCCTTGCCATGGCAATTGGACGTTACCACGTCCGGCGTCTCTCTTTGACAGCCTCGCCGGGCTGGCGTCGAGCCAAATCTCTCGACAACTTCAGGCATCGAGTCCCCCAGGTACAAGAGGCCGTCTTTCTCGATGATCCTTCCAGGGACAAGATCGATCTAGCCGACATGAAATCGTTCCTTACTGCGGATGAAGACCAGACTTGCTCAGGCAGGTACAATGATGTCAGGCTGGTCAGAAATGGCATGAGGGCATATGCTTCCAACGACATCAGTGAGGGGGATGAGCCTGAGGACACCTACCGCAGTGACATCGAGCCCGACGAGTTCTTCAAGTTGCTCCGCAAAACATTTCCAGAGTCCAAGCAAGCAGACGTGCTGGCAGTGCTTAAGCGGACAATTGTCATGGTCTTCGGGCAGAATGGTCTCTACTTGCGCTTCCCGTCCCCCAACTATGGTGCCCTTGTCCATCGCATTGTGGCAGACGATGTTCACAAAGATCTCCTTGCCACCAAGGACAAGCCTGTGTATGCTGCGTACAAGCTGGGTGATATGGTGAAGGGAAGCTACTATGAGAGCGAGGTGGAGAAGGAGCAGAAGATCATCGATGAAGGCATGATGAAGCTACAGCAGGCAGGCCGAGCACAAGACTATGTGGAGAGATGCAACAAAGATCTCAAAGAAGCTCTCAAGCAGGTGGCACGCATCCCAGAGAGCTCCTTTGTGCCAACTTCTCAGTCTTCAGAGGACCCGCCTCTCCTGCCGCCGGTGCCTCTCAACATCGGCTGCAACCGCAACGCGCCAAAGCGCTTGCGAGAGGGCGACTTCATCTACCCAGACTCCAAGCCGGACAAGCGCCTCCGGCACAAAACGAGCTTGCTCATCTCTTGCGGGGGAGGAGCAGCCTCATCTGTTGCCTCTGGTGATCCACAACCGCGAAAAGGGAGGCCACACCATCGGGCGAGACACCTGACGCCAAGAGAATGCTTTGCTTGGCTTGGACTGTGGATGACGTTTGCAAATTCATCACAAACTTGGAGCTTGGACATGTGGTGGCAGCTTTTCGCGAGAACGCCGTGGATGGCCGCATGCTGGCGTCCTTGTCAGAAGCAGACTTGGTTGATGAGCTTGGGCTGAGGCCTTTGCAGGCTCGCAAGGTGAAGAGCCGCCTAACATAGCAATTCAAGCCGACCTGCCTGGCGGTTCCGACGGTGCAAAAAGAAGATGTGTCCGTGCCAGTTCTTTGAGCAAGGACAGTTGCCCTGGCTATTTCAAGTTGCATGTTTTGGTCGGCGCAAAGTTTGCAGTTGTTGCAAGAAACATGTCACACCGCCTCAAGCCGCTCACTGTGACCGCTGCCATTTCAGGCTCGGCACCAATGTGCAGAGCCTGAAGAGCTTCTGGCTGCAGCAGAAACAGCCGACATGGAGGACACTGCTGCAGACGAGGATGCAAGCCACTTTCTCCACGACTAGAGCGTGAACCTGCTTGAGTTCTGAGTGTTGGGCTATGCTGCGAGAATCTATACTCTTGCTTGGTGAGTAGTGGTTACTACTGCCATAAAATTCAAATTCAAAGATGAAAGCTGTGTGCCCGCGGAAAAAATAAGCTCGCTGCAAGACTGCAGTTGCAAGTGCAACCTTGGTTGATTTCCGACTTGCCTTGCACTGTGTTGCCATTGAATCACCTAGGGCTCGTAGTTACTGCGATTGTGACATGGCAGCTCGACTCAACCCCGGGGTTGTGAGCAAGCGGGGGAAGCTCCGTCGTGTCCACAAGAGGCCAGCCACGAAGAAGAGCAAGGAGTATAACAAAGTGAAGTACGTGCGAGGTCACCGAGATGTACCAGCAGCTGGTGTTCGCATGGATCGAGCTAAGTGGAAGCGCAACCTCGCTGAGATCCTGGGTGCTAGCAACAGTGGGATTACCAAGATTTTGGAAAAGGACGGCATCCTTCCAAAATGGCACGGTAAGCGTTGCCCCCAATGCTGGAAAGGCACTCTTGCATCCAAGATGCATTGCGGCAGTGCAAAGTACCAATGCAACAACTATCATTGCAAACGTATTGTCAGCCCGCTGCACTTGCATCCCTTCTTCACTACTGGCCGTGGCCCTGGCTCTACTCCTTTGCAGATGCAGGCGGCAGTTCTCTTCATGATCCTCATTGGTGCTTCCCACACCCAGATCAGGTTGGCCTTGGGTGTGAATCACAAGCTCATTGAAAAAATGAGATCCAGCCTAGCGCATACCAGGCAGCTCTTTGTCGAGCAGGAGGAGAAGAAGATCTCCTTTGGTGGCAAGAAGCAGTGGCAGGATGTGGAAGCTGATGAGTGCGCCTTTGACAAAGCAGATATGACCAAGGACGTCGCGTACAAGGAGGCGGTCAAGGCAGGCAAGCCCATCCTGTGGGAGCAATGGAGTGGCATGATGGCCCGCGGCAAGCCATCTACACTCATCATGTCACGCCTTAGCCCAGCCTTGACGGTGCGGAGAGCTCCGGGGCCGGGGGCAATCCGCAAAATTGACTGGGCCCCGTTAGCCAAGAAGCACTTGCAGGGCCGCCATGTCATCCTGCATACGGACTCGGCAAAGTCCTACAAGGCCAAGGTGGATGGCGTGCACCATGACTCAGTTGTCCACTGCAAGAAGCTGATCACACTCAAGAATGGGAAAAAGAAATGGAGCTCCCCGCAATACGTGCGAGTGGTGACTCACAGGCTCCGGGATGGAACCCAGCTGAAGGTAAAAGCAGGCACCCAACACGTGGACAGGGCTTGGCGGTTTATTAAGGACCGGTTAAAATTGAACCAAAGGGTTCGAGCTGGGTCCAAAGCAATCAGGAGCCGCATTCGTTCAGCCCAGTATGAGTACTGGATGCGGGGCCAAGATCTCTGGATCAAAACTGGAGATCTGGTGAAGGATGCAATGGCTCCTTTTGTACAGAAATAGGGAGAGTTTTCTGCAGCAGAAAACAAAAAAGCGCGAAGTGCGTCTCACTGCCTGCTTTCCAAGTAAAGTTCCACTGAATGAAGCTCTCACTGCACCAAAAAAAACACACACATAAATCTTCTGCTGTCACCTGTCAATCAAACACAAGCAAATCATCTGCTACCATCTGTCAGTCAAGCACTCACTGCACCAAAAAAAACAGAGTCGTTGAGGGGGGGTAGCATATATATATATATATATAATAATATAATATTATATACTATGCATGGATTTACGATTGGATTTAGAATCCTCCACATCAGGTTGGACTCGGTCAGCCTTGTGTTAATCGAGGTTGCTTCCTTGTCCCTTGCAGTCACCGCCAAAACGCCCGAACACTGTTTCAAATTCCAATTCATAAGCTGATTGACATGGGGCGGCAAAGTCAAATACCAAGAAAAGCGGGTGTGCTAGCACCCATCGTCCCAGACCACCCGAGGCTCGACGACGAGAAATCGAGAACTCGGCGCCTCGACCGCCAGCGCCATGGCCTCCTCCAGCGCCTCCAAGATCTCGGACTGCGGCCGGCCTTCCGCCAGCTGCGATCGATTGGATCCGATGGCGAGGGACCGGGAGAAGCCGGACAAAAAACAAAAGAAGCGTGGTCGGGGCGAGAAATCGGAAGGGAATGGGAAATTGAACCAGTAAACGGGAGTCAAACAAAAACTTGGATGGTTTATCAGGGGCATTCCCTCATTTGCAGAGAAGCAGCAAGAAAATTGGGGATGCCGAACCGTCCATTTTTGGACGTACCCAGTTTGGGCGGGACACCGATAGAAAAACCACAAATTCCTATTTGCGGGCCCTTTTTTGTTGGCCAAGCAAACGAGAGGGGCATTACCGCAACCACAGGTTGGTTCTTGGGTTTTCCTCTTGGTTTGCAAAACGGAAAGGGCAACCCAAATTTTAAGGGCCAATGGGTGACAGCCCCGTGCCTACAATTGCTGGGATTTGGACCCCGGAAACGGTGGCTTTCCTGTTGATTTCCCGCTAAAAACACCTAAAAACGGGTACCCTCAAAATCACACACTCATACGATGACGTGTCTTGCCCAACTGAGTGGCTTGGAACAGTCGAACTGTTTAGCTGCCAGGTCCAATGTGGAAAACTGCATCCAAAGGAAATACAACCTTTTTAAGGCAGCCCTCATTTCGGAAGCGCCCAATAGCCCCCCACGGCTTTGGGGGAAAAGACCAGAAATCGTTCCACGCCGACGGGCCTACTCTTGGTACTTCAAATAAGAGCAATTTTAGGAACCACCCACGGCTCGGAATGGTTTGGCATCCTTGACGGAAAGTGGAATTCGGAGAAGCCCAAAAGGTAAAAGTTGCCGGCGATGGATATCCCCATGAAAGGTAATTCTGGACCCTTGTCAGAAAATCGCTAGGGCGCCAATAATCAAAATGGGCTTGTGGGGTATTAAGTCAAATTACATAGATTGCCTTAAGACTCAAAAGGGGAAATCAACATATATTCTCGCCTCCATTTGCTCAAGTCTCCTGGAAACAAAGGATACAGATTGCCTTTACAACTTTGAAACCATCATAAAACATCGTCTGAAACGCAACTGGAGGTCAAGAAATGGAAGCTAAAGGAGGTGGATATGTTTGGGCGTTTTCTTTTTGGGCCCTCTGGCCGTTGAAGATGTGGATCTGCGCCATGATGCAGCGGGCCGACCTGAAATGAATCGATTCATGATCGGGGATCACTCAACCCAGGGGACCCACACCTGTCTTACCCTCTCAAAACAAAAACAAAAAAACATGGGACCTGAGGTTCTTTTTGGCGGTCCTGGACCATGCCTTTCAAAGGGCCCGGGTCCCGTTCGTCAGGTTGAAGTTTCGACCAATAGGTCGAGGCTGTTTGGGACCTTGACGAATGAGAATCTCAGCGTCCCGCAAAACGAGTGGCGCGGAGCCCGGTTTGGAGGCTCCCACGAGAACCAGGGGGTTCAGATCCGAAAGGGTTACCTGAACACCCGGGGTACACAGAAAATTAGATGCTCTAACTCTGTTCCATATTTAGCCTGCCCTAAAATGTATGGACCCTAGTCAGGGCTTTTTAACCAACCATCTACCAAGCCCGCGCCTCATGGTGAATTTGAATTCAGCATGCCAGTAGCACTCCAGGCAGAGCTCTCTAGAGCTCTCTGTTCGCGCCTCCCCCCACGGTGACCCGGCGAGAAAAAGGGACCTGAAAATAGTGCTTTTTCTTTTTGGTTTTCCTTTAAACCACCAAGAAAGGGTACCCACCCAATTTTGGGAACCTAGAACATGATGCATGGTCCAAATTGACAAGGCTTCGTACCCTGTGCGAATCCACCAGGTCAAAATCAATTTGGGATCTCAAAAGGCTGCCTGGACCCTCAAACTACACAACATGGTTGATATTGCCGCAAGACACTGGAGTGGTTTCCTTTTTTGAGGGTGGCTTGGTGGCTTCATTTCTGTCTCCCTTTCAATACCAACATAAAGGCAGCCATGTTGAGAACCCGCCAAATCAATGTGCAGAGGTCAATTGATGAAGTCCCCTGAAAAACAAAACAAAAACACAAAAACATAGGCTTTAAAACCCAAAGAAAACCACACACACACACAAGCAAATGTTCGATTCAGCAAATGGAAGGCCACGGACGAGTAGGGTTCAACAGTATGGTGCCCGCAGATCTTCTAGCCATACCCTCTTTGTTTTCAAGGAATTTTCTGTTCAGAAAATTGCCTGACCCAAGGAAATACAACTATATATATATATGCATACAAACCATACGCAACTATATGACTACATATATCTATATTCATGCTATATAAATATACCACTTTCTGAAAATAATGATGGGTGAACAGACTGGGACATCCACCCGTAGATTCCTAGCGTCACCTCGCGGCTCGCGTGGCAAAGGCGATAAGCTGGGGCGCCGGGCGCTTCTGCCTGCAGGTCCCCCACCCTTTTCGCCGCCTCGGTGGCCTGAAAACGAGTCCGCGAAAACAGATCGAAGTACCCCAATCTCACTTCTGATCGAGTGGATGGCCTATGTTGAAACTCTTGTGCCACCAAAACGGTCGGGAACTCGGGAAGTGAGAAGGTTCAATGGGGGCCGTCAGATCAGGTGAACTGTTCTGGCTGTCTGACGGCTTCCCCTCTTTTGACCAAGCGATTTCTAGGGGCGTACCCCTCAAAAGTGGCCTGACCCCAAAGGAGCAGAAAGATCTACCCTGCCCACCTTGCCAAGGGTCCCACCTGACAGAGGGTCATTTGAAAAGAAAACAAAATGCTGCAGGACCCCTCAGTCAGGCTCCCAAACCCGGGCAGGAGGGTAGGTAGCACCCAAAAAGGCAGGGCTGCTTTCGGATCTGAAAGGTTCGGGGGACCCCGCCAAAACATGCGAAGCGTTGCTCCGATTGACCCCGGATCGAAGCAGAACCGGCCCATTTCGAGGGTTCCGCTGGACATCTGGGCTCCCATCACCCTCGAAAAAAACTCCTCACCCCAGCATTGTGGTTGGCGATATCAACCATATGTGTGGGTTGAGGAATGGGGTGATAGGCTAGTGGCGGAAACACTGGGCTTTGTGTGACGCTCAGTTGTTTTGCTTCAGGAGTTTGAGGGTGGGAGACACTGCAGATCATAGAGCCAGCAGAACCCCTTTGGGTTCAGTCAAACTGGGGGCCATTTTAGTAAGACGTCCTATTGACACGAGCTATGTGGAGGGTAACATGGACACCACCCCAAAAGCAATGGTGTGGTCCGCTCAAAATGTTCACTTTAACGGATCCTGTAAGAGGGAATTTGTCGATCACTTGCTCGGCCGAGTTGGTAAGTTGTTCGTAACATAGGTTACAACCCATAAGCAAAGTAACATGGAACCCGATGTCAAGTCCTCTCAGAGTCATAGCTTTTGGGTTCTCATGTTTCTTTGCAGGATGTTGGGGCAATCGCAACAACCATGAAAATAACAAGGGGCAGTATCACGGAGTGACACGTGTTTTGTGTCTTTGTGGGCGTCAACAAAAACTAAAACGAAAACAAGACAACACAATAAGGAACTTAGTGAAAGAGAAAAACCAAACAAAACAGTATGACCAAAAACAAGAGAAACAGGGGACATTCCGCACGTGTTGTATGTTTGTCCTTGAAAACACCGCCGAACAAGAACTGGTCCAGCATTAAAACGAGGCACCCGCACGGCCCGCACACACTTGTTGCCAATTTCGGAGCTGTGGGGCTTCAGCATCTCCACAACTAACACACTTTGGTTTTCAATATTTTGAACTCAGTTGTCCCTTAGAAACCTAGAAATAAGAAGTGATCACGTTTTGCTTCCACTAAAACTGGAACCCAAAGGAAACCAAAAGGTCAGATCTGCTGACACAGCTTGCTCAGCCTTGCCCAGCGACCCAACCAACCCAACTGACGTCACTCCACTTCCGCGCCTCCTTGGACACTTTGGCGGCTCGGGAGAGCTCCTGCCGCGATAAAAAAACGAAACTCATTTATGCCATTTCGGCTGCAACTGGCTCTTTTCCACTGTCTAAGTGGCTCTTTGATTTTGATGGCAACTTTGGCAAAACTGTTGCTCGCCGCGCCTATGCCTCATAGGCTGTTCTCGCGCGCTGGCATAAGCCTGTCAGGCCAGCGCCCTATTTAGACTACAATGTCATGTTGGCAGATCTGCTCCGGCAACTTGTCTGCGATGTCACCTTGCGTTGTGTTGTAAGAGTTGCGCAGCACCTGTCAGCCTTCGTATACGGACATGTCGCACACATGCGCAAGAACAACCCTAACAAGAATGTTTTTTGAATCAAACAAACTTTGGCAGTCTGCTGAGGTGACTGCAGGCTTAAAGCAACATGTTGCCATCTCAGCCAAAAAAGCCACCATGCTCAATGGCCTGGCCTTGTTGCCAGTCCATTTCAACGCCGGTCAGGCGCGGCACTTTCGTCTCCTACGGTTTCACGCACTGTCGTAAGCTGCTCGCTGTCTTATAACCTGAGTGCTTCGCACTTTGCGTTGCACACGTTTGGAGGTTGTGTTTGTTAGCCGGCGTTGCCTGACTGCTTGAACTACAAGGCCGTTTGGTTCTTAAATGTTTTTGGTGTCTGGGCCCGTGTGCCCGTGTCACCTTGCTAGCGTCGTGAACTGGGCAGGCGAGGGCGGGCCACGTTGTTGCAAAGGCTTGCCCAGTCGAAAGCCGAATGTCAGCATGACAACTCACGTTGAGCCCCTGGCCTCTTTGGCCCTGCACCAGCTTTTGGGTTATGTTATTTGAGGGCTGGCTGGCCGAAAGCTGGCAATGCGCAGGGCAATTATGTCGTCAACGACCTTCCGTAATTCTCAAGCAGTCACGCCGGGCGCAAAGACCTCTGCGCAAATTGAAGCAGTCACCAGTATGGCAGTGTCCTGCTTCATGTCTTTAACAATCCCGTCCCATAACTGAAGCTACTTGCGCGGCGTTGTGCTGCTTGGCAACTAGCAGTGTTGACCGTGTGATAGACGCATGCAGACACACGTGCTCGGCGCGACTTAGGAAGCCTATAGGCCACGTCATGTCAGAGTTAGATCTGGCGGCGATGTTTCTGCTCTTGGCCTGCCGCTTTCTAACGCGCGCCGCAATCCGCACCGCAACTGAGCAAACCAATTCAGAATCACACAGTGCAAATACTCCAACTTGCTTTCAAGAAAAATCACGCGAAAGAGGCAGCCGGTTGAAGTTGAAGGCTTTGCCGCATCAACAGACCCGGCATTCGGCTGCAGCCAAATGCGTTGCTTCTCGGGTTTGCGCTTCGTCTTCCTGCGGAAAACTGTTGCAATTTTGCTCCGGCACTCAGCTGCAGCCAAATCCTTTTTTGGAATAGCGATGGAAAACAACCACAGGTGTGCTCCCGCGTCATTCTGCAGCCAAATGTGCTTTCGGGTGTGCGTTCGGCATGCGAGAGACAAGCTGCATCTTTTCTGGGGCATTGGCCTGCAGCCATGTCCGCTACCCGGATGCAACCACGGAAAGCCAAGCACGGCGCAATCTGCAGGAAAATGCCGGGGCAGCGTTGTGACTCATTTTCGCGAAAGCCAATCGCACTCCAAGAAAATGTGTTTTTAGATATAATTCTCTCATCCCTCTTACGAATATAGATTGGATGATGGAACCGGGGGCTGCAGCCAAATGCTGGAGCAAAATCGTGATTGGTTCTTGAATACCTGTCGGATGCTGGGGAAAGACCCAACGCAACCCTGAAGCGGATTGCGCTGCAGACGCCAGCCGGAGCAAGATAACAATATACAGACTATCCAGAGAACCAACCGCAGTCCTGAGAAAAGGGTTTGGCTGTAGCCAATTGCCGGTTGCCTGGGCAAGCCAAGCGCAATCCCTAAAGAGGACTTGTCTGTGGAGAGTGTGATTGGTTGGCTGCAGCCGAACACCGGGCTCAAATTGTGATTGGTTGGCTGCAGCCGAATGCCGGGCTCAAATTGTGATTGGTTGGCTGCAGCCGAATGCCGGGCTCAAATTGTGATTGGTTGGCTGCAGCCGAATGCCGGGCTCAAATTGTGATTTGGTTTCTGAAAACACGATCGCATTTTGAGGAACGGGTTTGGCTGCAGCCGAATGCAGGAGAGGGTGCAGGAGAGTTGCGAGCGGTTTTTTGGAAAACCCGTCGTGTTCTCGAACTGAACCCCAGAGCAGAGTTATGATTGTCGTCCTGGAGAACCAATCGCAATTCACAAGAAAAAGCGAGAACGGATCAGCTCAGAACATTATAGTCGCCAAACAACGCAGTGATTCATATGCCCCTGACACTGGATTGTGTGATTGGGTTTCTGGAAAGACAATCGCAAGATGAGGTGGCATGTGGGCCTGCCAAGTATGATTGGTTCCGTGGTTTTGCGGTTGAAGAAGGTTGACGCTGAACTTGGCTTGTGACATCTCACTGGCGCAGGTGTTTACTCCATCGCAGCAGTTCTTAATCAGGCCAGCCCGCCGTCCGCAAAAATTGGAGGGGAAACCATCTGACCGCCGAGTTGCAAACCGACGTTGCGACGAAACAAAGCAGACGCATTTCACATGGGCACCCTGCTGCAGTCGAGTCGGGCTGGGCTTGCCTGTGACGGACTGGAAGTAGTGAGTGTAAAATGGCTAGCGCTGTGGCAGATTTGCTTTCGGAACAGCCTCGTGACTCGTGACTGACAAGCCACTTCATGTATATGATGTTCACGCAAGAACTCGTTTGGAAAACTTTGCGAAGCAATCTGCGCTCTTCCACCCCGTCCTTGGCTCATTTCTTGTAGCAGGCCTTGCCCAGACATCGTCTTTCCCAGCTTAGTCGTTTCGGCAGTTTGGCTCAAACCAGCGCCCAATCTTGGCGCTCTGTGTTTCTGAGCTTGTCTGCGGCGCTGCGAAGCCGCAGACCGTAGGAAGGCTGGCCAGCGCCACTTCAGCCTTGTCAGTTTGAGGCGACGCAAAAGAGAAAGAACTGCTGGCGGTGTTGGAAAACTGCAGGGCCTGGCAGGACACGCCAAGGACTGGTTCTTGCTGCCATGCGTGCGCGGAAAAGAGCTTCAGCGTTTGTGCTGGGGCTGCTGAACAGGGACACGCAAAACCGGTGTCATCCTTCCCGGGAGCAATGTTGGCGCAAAGTTCAGGAACATCCTTGAAGAACTGCACGAGCGTGATGCGTTTCCACTTTTCCAGAGCAGCAAGATATGGCAAGATGTTGGTAAAGCTGCCCAGACATTATGTGAAATAGCTGGAAAGCACTTCATTCATCTCCAAACCCAAGTGAAGCCTGTGGCGGCAAAGCAGCGTACCTGTTTCCACCACAATCTTGCATGTTTCCGCCGTAGCCCCGTCGCGCAACCGTCAAAGCTTGGAAAAACGGCCAGGAACCTGTCAACGCTGTCCAAAACAGCTGCTTGGCAGCCGATGCCTGCAAAATCAGAAAAAAATCGGGCAGAGAAAGCGCTGTGTTTGCCGCGCGCCAAGCGTAAACGCATATCATACTTCCGGCCTGGCACCATACCTTGTTCTAGCGGTGTAGCTACTAACAGCTGCTCGTTGCAAGCGGAAATGCTGTTGCACTGCTCAGACTGGCATGAGGCAAAAGGCAGTTGTTGCAATAGACTTGATCGACTTTTGGCATGCACCCACCAGAAAGGCACACGCATGCCAAGGGTTGCGGCGGCGCTAGTGCACCTTGCGACAACCTGCGAAAAACGCCGAAAAAAACCTGACGCCTCCGTGGGCGCAAAAGGGAGTCTGTTTGAGTCCACGGCTTAGGCTTGGTCAAAGAAGGTTTTACAGCAATATGACAGAGAGTCGAACCGCAGCGCCTTTTAGCTTTCCAGTCATGCAGCGCACGTGTGTCTGCATGCGTCTATCACACGGTCAACACTGCTAGTTGCCAAGCAGCGCAGCACAACGCCGTGCAGGTAGCTTCAGTTATGCAACGTGATTGTTCAAGACATGAAGCAGGACACTGCCATATTCGTGAGCTGCTCCAATTTGTGCACAGAGGTTTTTGCGCCCGGCCTGCACTGGTTGGGTTGTGGCAAAGCCTTTCCGGCCCAAACCGCTTGAGAATTACGGAAAGTTGTTGACAAAGTTGCCCTGCGCATTGCCAGCTTTCGGCCAGCCAGCCCTCAAATAACATAACTGATCCAAAAGCTGTGGCAGGGCCAAAGGGGCCCGGGGCTCAACGTGTGTGGTCATGCTGGCATTCGGCTTTCGACTGGGCAAGCCTTTGCAACAACGTGGCCCGCCCTCGCCTGCCCAGTTCACGACGCTAGCAAGGTGACACGGGCACACGGGCCCAGACACCAAAAACATTTAAGAACCAAACGGCCTTGTAGTTCAAGCAGTCAGGCAACGCCGGCTAACAAACACAACCTCCAAACGTGTGCAACGCAAAGTGCGAAGCACTCAGGTTATAAGACAGCGAGCAGCTTACGACAGTGCGTGAAACCGTAGGAGACGAAAGTGCCGCGCCTGACCGGCGTTGAAATGGACTGGTGACAAGGGAAGGCCACTGAGCATGTTGGCTTTGGCTGAGATGGCAACATGTTGCTTTAAGCCTGCAGTCACCTCAGAGACTGCCCAAAGTGTGTCTGATTCAAAAAACATTCTTGTTAGGGTTGTTCTTGCGCATCTGTGTGACATGTCCGTATACGAAGGCTGACAGGTGCTGCGCAACTCTTACAACACAACGCAAGGTGACATCGCAGACAGGTTGCCAGAGCAGGTTTTCCAACGTGACATTGTAATTTAAGTAGGGCGCTGGCCTGACAAGCTTACGCCAGCGCGCGAGAACAGCCTATGAAGCATAGGCGCGGTGCCAGAGCCACGCCCTGCCTTGTGGAGCAACATGCAGTTTTGCAAGAGTTGCCACCAAACTCAAAGAGCCACTTAGATAGTGGCAAAGAGCCAGTTGCAGCCGGAATGGCATATTTGAAGGTGTTGTTCCCCTTTTTTTTGAGATAGACATCGAATAAACTAACAACGCATATGACATATTCAATGAATCAGTGTTTTTTGTGTATGTCATTTGGCATAGAATCAACTAAATTAAAGCTTGCAGACTTTGAAACAAATGCGTTGATTGCACTGAATCTGTGTGAGCAGTTTAATTAAAGAATTTATTGAACCACACATATGAAATATCAATGATTCAGTGCCTTTGCTCAGATGAGGCCCCAACCCCCTTTAAAGCATCTTGTATGTACTTCAAATGTGCCATGAATGTCCAAACGTAACAAATAATTGGACTGTATCGTCACTTTCTTGTGTTGGCCCTGTGTTTGCGGTTGCTTTTTCGGTGTTCGGTTGGAGCATTTTTCCTCAAAAGGACCGTAGACTCTGTGAGTCTTGGGCAGCTTGCTTCCAGCTTGGACTCAGATTCACACATATGGCACCTATGCAGACGCACCGGCGCTAACTAGCAAATGGCATGCCTATTTGACGAGACTTGTACTTTTCAGCTAGCGTTCTGAGGCTGCTGAGGGGTGGTCGGCACACACAAGTACAATTGTGTCTGTAAGAAATGTACATACATACTATGGCTTTACTTGCAAGTTGGTGTGCCTTTTTTGGGGGACCCCCACGATGGGTCGTTTTCCGTTGTTTCTTTAAACCAACCTCACAAAGCGTACTCACACAAAAAAGAGACCCCAATAAGGAACCTAGCTATTTCCAGTTACCCATATAGTAGGTATCCTGCTATTTTCCTTTTTGGTCTTTCAAAGCGTGTTTTTTTTGGTTACCTACGAAAGGCTATTTTCCTGTTGGCGTTCAAAGGGTGGTTCCCTTACCAACAAAACCAGGAAAATGGATCCGTCCACTCCTCCCAGGGCAGTGGAGCTTTGACGCCGGTGGCTCGCTTGCCCCGGGAGAACTTTGCTGTGCCTCGGACCAACATGAGGCGCCAACGTGCATACCAAATGGACGTGACATAAGGAAGCCAGAAGTAGTGGCTTTACATGGCAATGGGTTTACAGGGTATCCCCAAATCCACCCCTAAAAAAAGGCCTATAACTGGCGTATGTCCATTTGGGGTATCTAAGTTGGCCCTTGGAAGGAACTCTCCTAGTTTTGGGCTGTGCACGTATGAGCAAATGTTCTTGAGGATCACACATGCCCCTCTTTCTGAACTGTTGTTGTTCTCAGAACCCTGCCCCCTTTAGAATCCCTGGCTTGGCAAGGCAGGAAATTCAAGAGGTCAAGAGTCCAGGTCTGGTTCCAAAATGGAATTCAAGAAGGGGGGGTCTGAACAAACCGTTGGACTCACATGACCCTTCGATCCGAGGAACTGGCGTTCCAGCCGATTTGACCCAAACTTGGGTGAAGAAACGGAGAGTTGTGCACGCCTTGCCCGCCTCAAACAGCTAGAAAGTCTAGAAAACGGCTTGGATATGCGCTTTTTTGTGGATTTGTTCTTCCTCCTGTCGGTCCTTTTTTAGTACTCTTTTAGTACTTCTTTGATATCTTACAGGGGTGGAGCCACAAAAGCCACATCCCAAATGATTTCCTTGGAGAAAGGTCAATCAATCCGCACAAACGCACCGAATCACACCAAACGCAAGTCCTCAACCTTTCACATGCCCGGCTTGCTCGGGCACATGCCCTGAGAGCCGTCCCAAAGCCATTAGGCTGACCCCATGTGGCTCTTGAGGAAAGGGGTATGTGCTAAAATCTGGGACCCCCGCATGGCTTTCCTTCCAGTTTTGCCTTGTTTGAACAATCTCAAAAGGGGCGAGGTGAAATCGCAGCGTCTTGGGGGGGAATTTCCGAGTCACCTCCGTGAACATCAAAACCGGTGCCCCGGCTGAGGCCCCGGCTCTGTTGCTGTTGTCTTTGCAGCAGCTGACTTCTGCACTCTGCCTGGTGACGTTTGGATTGGTGCTTTGGATTGGTTTGTGGCTTGGTGGTTTGAGAAATTGGCAGTTTCTTGTAAAGGCTAAATGGTCACATAACCTGCAATCGGTGGTTTTGGATTGGTTCGGGACGAACCCCTGGTTCTTGTGGATAAAGGCACCAACCCGCTTGGCTCGTGGCTCGCCCTGGGACCTGAAAAACACCGGCAAAGGCCTTGCGGGACCGTTTTCTCGGCCAAACTTGGAAGGCTTAAACTCACTTCTGATTCTGTGGATTGGCCAACAAGCATGACCAGGATCTATTCATGTACCAAAATCATCCAATCCCAAAAAGTAAGTCCAAGAACTCGGGGGAGTAGCCTTCTGTCCACTACCATGGAACCCACCAGAGGGTCCGTTTTAAAGGAAAAAGGTCTTTCCAGTGCCCGCCTGGTAGGTTTTTCTGTTAGACCACAGGGTAAATGGTCAAAACCTGGTGAGAAAAAACCTTCGCAGTGCCCGAGCTTCGAAGCATAGCTGATGTTTCTGGTGCATCTGAAACCCAATGTCTCGACCGCTGATGGAACAGCTCTTGGCCCTCGCTTGAGGACCCCGCCAAATGGCAGCCGTTTTAGTTTCTCTTTAAAAAGCCATGCCAAGAAGGGCCTCAGATTTGGGCGCCACCCCATTTTTTGAGGGACTCCCTTTTCTTTCCATTATGTCTTTGCCCGTGCAACTTGTCCAACGCAGAGTCTGGAGCCCCCATTTCGATTGGTTTAAAGGGAAACCAGAAGGAAAACCGAACTCCATTGGGTCCAAATCCTAAAACACGAACCGACATTGTTTAGCTGCCAACTGGACAGATTTCCCACATCTCATTTGACGGCTATGCCCTGGCCCAACACCGAACGTGCAGTGCACTGCCCTTTCATTTTTAATTAGCACGGTCGATTCTGCAAACCGAGCAATCCCAATTTCCTAATGGACATTTGGTGAGTGTGACCCATGTCATCCCATTACAGTTGACGATGGCAAATTTGACCGTGGGTATGTATGGTCAGAAGGGTCTATTCCCAAATGCCGAGTTTATATTGCAAAGAGGTCGATGTACTTTCGCAAAAGAATGGAGCAACAAGGACAAGCCCTTAAAGACTTGAAGTGGTTTGGTTCGATTCAGGGTTGACCAATCCCTTCTGGAAAAAAAAACAAAAACAAGCACCCGTTTAGTGGACTCTCCTCAACATTTGCAAGGTTGCTCAAAGACATGTTCGGGTGATTTCCAAAAAACATGTGCGGATATCCCCAGCTGATTTTCCTTTTGATTTTCCTTTACGTAAGACCAAGCAGTTCCTTTTGAGACAGGCCCCTTTCGGGGTTTGTCTCAAACTGGGGGGACGCCCTTCCGGTTTTCATGTTGGCTTCCTCTTAAAACCAACCCAAACTGGGTACCCTCAAAAAACAGACATACCCAAAAGTTACCTTTGGCTGCACACAAATTCCTCACTCTGAGGTCGGAGCCATCACCCCTAACGCGCTGCACTTGCCCAGCTGGTCATTCACCCGAAGAAACCTGAGGTGCTCGGCTCCTTATGTTGCTTTGTCTCGAAATGTGGAAACTCCAAAACTTTGGCTTCCCCTTGGTTTTTCCATTCAAATCCACTCAGACAGGAAACCCTCCACAAAAATACGCCCCCAGTGTCTAATGGGTGTGGCTCAAAAATTAACAATCGCTAAGGCCAACGCTGGTTTCAGTCTTTGATTCTATTTACCTTTTGGTGCCGTTTGGCGTACATGTTAGTGAGCCACAGCCATATGGAGACCCCCAAAATTTCGAAAATGTTATCTTCCCTTTGGCTTTTCCCGTCAAAACCGCTCAATGAAAATACCGGCCAAAGTGCCAAGGCCCCCTCTCATTTGCCAACTTCAATTGGCCCACCATTGACATAGCCAAAGGTTCCTCGGCGCTCGTTGACCAATGCCCACGAATTCTTGGTCCCAAACATTCCGTGCACTCCCAGCCAAAGTTGCCAAAACAGGCACAATGGGATCGAATTTGTCCACATAGGGGGACCCCCAATTAACATCCAATTAACATGGACTTCGGTGTTCTATTTGTTTTCCCACTAGAACCATCCCACAAAGGGTATCGAGTCTCAAACAAAAGCACACCCACACCCACACACACACAACCACCCACACTAACGCGAACGCGTGCACGCACACGCGCATGAGCACGCACCTGTGCGCGCACTTACGCCTGCGCAAACACACCCACACACTCAATTATTTTGGGGCCGGACTCGGGCTGCTAGTTTGGTTGCCCTTCACAAGCCACACAAAAGCTCCTGGCCTTCTGTCCATGGACTTTCAAACAAAGGTAGTTCCTTAGATGGGGGCCCCAGAGACCAATCAAAGGGGGTTCCCAAGTTTTTGACAAACCCTAAGACAACGCCAGTTCGCCTCTCACTGAGACAGGTCCTTAAGCCAGCGCCAAGTTGCAGCTTCTCTCCATTGTTGTTTTGAACACGGTGGCTTGGTTGTTCGGGGTGCTTTCCCACTCTCCCCGTGCAACAGTGTTACGGGTTCAAATCCCCACACCAATCCAAACCAGGATTTCAACATGACAACCTAGCCACTTTGGAGGGACTAGTTTTGGTAATTACACAACATGGGTAGATTGTTTGATGGCTTCTCTTTGTAGCACCAAGCAAATCAGGCTACAATTCACAGGTTTTGAGCTTCTCTTTGGTATTAAAATGGTAGCACATGGGTACCCAGCATGGCACCCCTGGTTTTGAGCTTCTCAATTCCTCCTGGGCTTTCGAACCCATGCGCTCCGCAGCTTTTTGCGAGACCTTCGGGGCCCCGGCAGCTCATGGGCACGCTCCGCAGCGTGCAAGGCCTGAGGCGACGGGCAGGCAGTCCAACCAGGCTGGAAGTAGGACCCCGGCAAAAAATTAGCTTTTTTGCCTGGTGAGTGGAAAACACAGGGGACCCCCAAAAAGGAAAAACAGAAAAAGGGGAGCTAGCTTCTGGGGAAGAAAATAAGCCCAGGTGGTACCTCAAGCCGCTCTAAAACTTCGGGAAATGTTCTGGAACCCCCCTGACAGCTGCCCGAACCACCCCAGTGCTTATTTGGGCAAAGCTTTCAGCTGTTGGGGAAAAAACCTCCGCCCTCCGCAATGCCTACGAATGGGACACCTGCTGAAGGCGAAAACACAAATGGGTGGCTGACAACATGAAATCATTCGGCGGATGTTCTGATTGCTGGCACTCACACAAACGCACACACGCGAGCAAGCAAACAACAAGAAACAAACTGAACAAAGCAACGAAACACAACAAGAGAAACAAACACAAACACACAAGCAATACAAACCTACAAACAAGCAAACTCAAAAAACAAAATGACACGACCACACAGACACACAAACAAACACACACTCACAAACACATGAACACACAAACACGCAAACACACACACACACAACCACGCCAACGCACACACACACACACACCAACGCACACACACACACACCCCAACACACACACACACCAACACACACACACACACCAAAAACATACAAACAGCCAAGCACGAAGCACGCAACACCCAAACACCCAACCATGAAAACAAGCAAAGACGTAAATCACAGATGCAAAGACACCGTAAATGAACCAATAAATCAAAGAAACAGAGCAAAACACAAGCAACCAAACAAACAAACACAAACCAAACAAACACACACACACCAACACACACACACACACCAACACACACACACACACCAACACACACACACACACACACCACACACACACACACACACACACACACACACACACACACACACACACACACACACACACACACACACACACACACACACACACACACACACACACACACACACACACACACACACACACACACACACACACACACACACACACACACACACACACACACACACACACACACACACACACACACACACACACACACACACACACACACACACACACACACACACACACACACACACACACACACACACACACACACACACACACACACACACACACACACACACACACACACACACACACACACGCACACACACACACACACACAAACACACACACACACACTCTCACACACACACACACAAACACACACACGCACACACACACAAACACACACACACAAACACATACACATACACACACACACAAGCATGCACATGGCCAACCACACAAACACACAAGCAAGCAACAACCCAAACACCCCACATACACACACAGAAGAGAAACAAACAAACACATGCGACGACACAAACAAACAAACAAATGAATAAAGCAAGCAAGCAAACAAGCAAGCAAGCAAGCAAGCAAGCAGGCAGGCAAACAGACAGACTGGCAAGCAAACAACAATCACACAAACAAACATGAACAACCCAAACGCCGACACAAACAAGCAATCTTGCAGACACGAACGCGCAAACAATGAAACAATCAATCAAATAAACAAACAAGCGAACAAACAAACAACCAAAAAGACAAGTGCGCAAGCCACCACACAATCACACACACACACTAAAAAACCCATGCGCGCGCAAAGACCAACACACACACACAGTGACAAACAACACACGAGGAATAACTAGGACACGAAAAACCACAGAAACCTTCCAGCACACGGGCAACATTCCCCCCCCCCCCAACCCCCCAACCCCCACGCCCCCCCACCCCCACGCCCCCCGCCACGTTTTCCCATTGCCGCCTTCTCGTAGTGCATGCCGGCAAGCCGAGCTTTGGCCACCTTTCATGGGTCGGAAGGGGGCTGTCTTGGGGTCGAAAGAATGCGAACCTATGGGGTGGGCCAAGGTAGAGATAGACATGTGAGGGTTTCCGTCTATTTTGGCCCCCTCGAACTTCTTGGGGAACGTACGGTTGGCGTCACTTGGAAGGGGGGCAGGTGGTCAGGTCATGCTGAGAAGCTCATCATACATTTCTCAATTTCGGGGTCGGATGGAAGGAAGCCTTTCGGAAGCAGCCGACAACCTTAAGCCCAGATGATGATGTTGGGAACATGAACAGACATGAGCATTCGCCCGCATCATGGCTCTAGACATCTGTTGTCGTGTTTTGGGGGATTTCTGATGAGAACCCCATACACGGGTGTGTCTCGAAACTGGGGACCCTGGGGACCCCCTAAAATGGTGGTTTTCCTTTTTCCCCCTTTTTGTTCAAATATGGGGTACCATGGGTACCCTCAAAAAAATCACCCACCCAGTAGCCGGAAACGCGCACCAAAATTTGGAGGCTTAGGCCTAAAGGAAGCATCGGTTTGCGGGCCCCGTCGTCCGTTTGGCGTGTCTCAGTGGTGATGTTGCCCCTGAAGATCCTTGTAATTAGTTGCCATGTCCCAGGGGCGCAAAATCGCGGGGAACACGGCAACTTCAAAAGAGACACTTCTTCTGATCCACCAAAACCTACACCAGAAACAGAATCACAGCTGTACTCAAAAAACACAAGATGTTCTTTGGGCTCCGACCCTTGCCAAGCCACGAAGGGACACAGAACAGGTGCCCTTGGTGTGTCAACTTGCAAAAACCCAATGGCTGAATTTCTCTTGAGTTCTGTATTTGCTTGGTTTGCGGCATAACTTTGGAATTCCATTCGGGGGTTGGTGGGTTCCTCGCTTGGGTAGCTGAGAGCCCAAGGCCCTTGCGGGTTCCTTAGGGTTCCCTGGGAGCCTTGCAGGATCCCCCCCTTGGACCCGCCCCCTCAGAAAGGGCTGCCGCAGTTTGTTGCATCCCGCTCGCATGGAGCCAATTCGCCCAAGCAGGCGATGGGATGTGTTTCAGGGTAGCTTGGCTTAAAGGGATATCTAAAGGAACACCACCATGTTTGAGGTCCCCTCATTCTAACAAACAGACTGATGTGTATCCTTGGAGAAGCATGCAAAACGGGTAAACCAAAAAAACAACAGCTCTCCCAAGAACGCAGAGGAAGATTGGAGTCAGCCCCTGTTCTTTGATGAGGTATCCCCATGTCCTCCAAACTACTCATGTATCGAGTGCTCCCAGCAGTCATACTGTGGATGGACAAAACTCTGCACCAGTTGGGTTGGATGCAACATGAGACACCCCTGTGAATTGTGGGATAAACATGGGTAAACCACTGACTAAGTGGTGCAGGATTCCTGCCCATCTACGGTAGTTGGCCACCGGGGGAACCACCAATGCAAAACCTAGGGCTAAACCAAACCTTTCCTGGAAGTGCAGAGGTGGACCAATAGAACCACTGCTCGCTAAAAAGGGGGAATTCGTGGACCACGGCTCCGTTTGAGGTGGCTTCAAACGAAGGCCACGGGGCGAACAATTGGCAGAAAGAATCGGACAGGATGGCTTTAAATGAACCCAAACGGAAAGAAACCAACCACCTGGATGGGGTCCCTAATTTCGTCGAGCCTCCACGTAAACCCGCTAAAAGGAAACAAGCCAAAAGAAAACCTCTGACACTCAACCATGGGTGTGTCTATGCGCTTTTCCTTGTGGGTGCCCTTTTTGGGAGTAGCTCTAATGGGAAACCAAAGAGTTCAGCCCATACGTCATACTCCTTTGGGTGGGTTGAAGGCAAACCACAAGGAGCAACCACAGGGAACACCACCACTTTGGGGTGCCACCATTTTGAGCGAGACATAGCCGTCCAGCGCAAATTCCGGGCCTGCAGCAAAGATTGGGCCTCGCCCTTGCGGTCTTTGTGCCTCAACTGTTTGGCGTTTGGCGGGCGTGGGGTTCTGGTCTTTGGGGCCATTGGAAGAGTCCTTTTCTGAAACTTCATTCTCCAGGACGTCTGTTCTGAAGTTCCTTTTGAAGAAGTTCTTTCGCTGAAAGACTGAGTCTGGGGTCCTGAACAGGGAAACACATAGGGGCGGCCCTTTCCTTGAAACCGATCTAATTTAAGGTAACTTGTTCGCCCCAAATACATCCTTTCAGAGATCCTGAACTCGATCGAGGAATGGTTCGGGTAGCAAGGAACGCTGCGTTCAAGTCAAAGCAAACGAGAACAAATAGGTGGAACGCCGACTGAGGCACAATGGTTGAATTTGAGCAGGGAACAGAAGCTGCTACAATGCTGCACTCTAGATCTGGCTGCTTGGAGAAGGCTGCAGGGCCTTCATGTTCGCAAAGATGGATCCTTTCCCAGCAGACCCCCCCCCAAAACAATTAAAGGACCGGATAACCCCACATGCTATGTTTTTCCCAAGGATGTGAGTTCAAATGTCCACACACATGTACCGTGCGCCCCTTGTATGGATGCGATTACAGAGCACCCAGATGCACAGAATGCAGCGCCTGCCACGACTTCGGCAACGGCATCGCCAAAGTGCTGCGCCTCGATTTCGCAACGGCATCGCCAAAGTGCTGCGCCTGCCACGATTTCGCACACCCCCCGCCGCGCGCGCGACAACATCCTGTCCCTCTAGACAGCTGCCGAATGCGACCCCTGCCACACAAACACACACCCAGATGCACAGAATGCTGCGCCTGCCACGACTTCGGCAACGGCATCGCCAAAGTGCTGCGCCTGCCACGATTTCGCAACGGCATCGCCAAAGTGCTGCGCCTGCCACGATTTCGCACGCCCCCCGCCGCGCGCGCGACAACATCCTGTCCCTCTAGACAGCTGCCGAATGCGACCCCTGCCACACAAACACACACCCAGATGCACAGAATGCTGCGCCTGCCACGACTTCGGCAACGGCATCGCCAAAGTGCTGCGCCTGCCACGATTTCGCAACGGCATCGCCAAAGTGCTGCGCCTGCCACGATTTCGCACGCCCCCCGCCGCGCGCGCGACAACATCCTGTCCCTCTAGACAGCTGCCGAATGCGACCCCTGCCACACAAACACACACCCAGATGCACAGAATGCTGCGCCTGCCACGACTTCGGCAACGGCATCGCCAAAGTGCTGCGCCTGCCACGATTTCGCAACGGCATCGCCAAAGTGCTGCGCCTGCCACGATTTCGCACGCCCCCCGCCGCGCGCGCGACAACATCCTGTCCCTCTAGACAGCTGCCGAATGCGACCCCTGCCACACAAACACACACCCAGATGCACAGAATGCTGCGCCTGCCACGACTTCGGCAACGGCATCGCCAAAGTGCTGCGCCTGCCACGATTTCGCAACGGCATCGCCAAAGTGCTGCGCCTGCCACGATTTCGCACGCCCCCCGCCGCGCGCGCGACAACATCCTGTCCCTCTAGACAGCTGCCGAATGCGACCCCTGCCACACAAACACACACCCAGATGCACAGAATGCTGCGCCTGCCACGACTTCGGCAACGGCATCGCCAAAGTGCTGCGCCTGCCACGATTTCGCAACGGCATCGCCAAAGTGCTGCGCCTGCCACGATTTCGCACACCCCCCGCCGCGCGCGCGACAACATCCTGTCCCTCTAGACAGCTGCCGAATGCGACCCCTGCCACACAAACACACACCCAGATGCACAGAATGCTGCGCCTGCCACGACTTCGGCAACGGCATCGCCAAAGTGCTGCGCCTGCCACGATTTCGCAACGGCATCGCCAAAGTGCTGCGCCTGCCACGATTTCGCACGCCCCCCGCCGCGCGCGCGACAACATCCTGTCCCTCTAGACAGCTGCCGAATGCGACCCCTGCCACACAAACACACACCCAGATGCACAGAATGCTGCGCCTGCCACGACTTCGGCAACGGCATCGCCAAAGTGCTGCGCCTGCCACGATTTCGCAACGGCATCGCCAAAGTGCTGCGCCTGCCACGATTTCGCACGCCCCCCGCCGCGCGCGCGACAACATCCTGTCCCTCTAGACAGCTGCCGAATGCGACCCCTGCCACACAAACACACACCCAGATGCACAGAATGCTGCGCCTGCCACGACTTCGGCAACGGCATCGCCAAAGTGCTGCGCCTGCCACGATTTCGCAACGGCATCGCCAAAGTGCTGCGCCTGCCACGATTTCGCACACCCCCCGCCGCGCGCGCGACAACATCCTGTCCCTCTAGACAGCTGCCGAATGCGACCCCTGCCACACAAACACACACCCAGATGCACAGAATGCTGCGCCTGCCACGACTTCGGCAACGGCATCGCCAAAGTGCTGCGCCTGCCACGATTTCGCAACGGCATCGCCAAAGTGCTGCGCCTGCCACGATTTCGCACGCCCCCCGCCGCGCGCGCGACAACATCCTGTCCCTCTAGACAGCTGCCGTGCCGTGAGTCAGCGTGAGTGAGTGAGTGAGTGAGCGAGTGAGTGAGTGAGTGAGTGAATGTGAGTGAGTGTGAGAGTGAGTGTGAGTGAGTGAGTGTGAGTGAGAGTGAGTGAGTGAGTGTGAGTGAGTGAGTGAGTGAGTGTGAGTGAGTGTGAGTGAGTGAGTGTGAGTGAGTGTGAGTGAGTGAGTGTGAGTGAGTGTGAGTGAGTGAGTGTGAGTGAGTGAGTGTGAGTGAGTGTGAGTGAGTGTGAGTGACTGAGTGTGAGTGAGTGAGTGTGAGTGAGTGAGTGTGAGTTGAGTGAGTGAGAGTGAGTGAGTGAGCGATTGAGTGAGTGAGTGAGTGAGACGGAGACGAGCGGGAGGAGGAGGAGACGCAGTGCGCGGACGACGAGCGGTAAAAGTAAGAACCCCACACAAAGATGTGGGGAAAAAGAAGAAGAAGAAGAAGCCAAAAGCCAAACTCAGTTGCCCAAAGAACCCGCAAATAAAAAACAAGTTCACCTCTTGGGGCCATGACAATTGGCCAAAGGGGGGGAATCAAAAGGTCGAAAGGTCGGCTCTGGGGCAAGGCAGTTCAGCCAAATGCCCCTTCAACACTTGGGATCCCAACTCGAGACAGACACTGTCTTAGTCAAATATCTACGCCCATGCACACCCGAAACTTCGGGCTTCCGACGATTTAGCTTTAAACCAAAACAACAACCTATTCAACACAAAAAAAAAAACCGGCGCGCCGCCGGGGTTTTGGGGGGGGATCCCTTGAGGTCCTGGCTCAGCATAGAGGCCCTGAGCCTCCTTGGCCGTCTCCACCGACTCCTCGAGCTTGTCCTCGGCCTCAGCAAGCCATCGACCAAAACAAGGGCAAGCCCTGCACCTGCTACACTCACGCATATGCTGGGGCGTAGTAGTACAGACAAGTGGCGCAGGGCAAGCCCTGCTTTCCCCGCTCGTCTGGATTTTTTTGGGAAGCATAGAATGCAGACGTTGGCTGGTTGTTCGATTGGCTGAATACTTTGAATGGGGTTTTACCATTTGGTTTTTAAAGGGTGGCAAGCCCTTGAACATGACCCGAAACACACAATACTGGTGACTATTCAATGTCTATTCAGCCCCTTATGCTGCCAATACCCACACGCGACTGGCTACACACCGTTTGTATGTGGCATGCTGAACCACGTAAACCTCCACCAAACAAATATCCAGCAAACACAGAGGATGCTCTGTTTGACCCCTTCGGCCCCGGCTTTTCGGAAAAATGGGTGTGTAGTTTTTATTTCTACCCTTTTGGGGTTGCTTAGGGAAACCAGAACACAACCCGCAATTCATTTTGGGCTGCAAAAGTGATGAACCTCCACAGTAGGGGGACACCCCCTATTAATGAACCGGGGGTTTAATCCAGGATTCCCGTAGAAAAGAGGGCTCCCCTTCTTTGAGACAAGTCAAGTAACTATCAGTTGCTGTCAGGAAACCACCCAATCTCACCCCCTCCAAACCACCAACCCAAACCACCAATTGGAGGGAAGCTGAGCCAACGTGCATGGCTGGAATCAAAAGCAATGCCTTTTTGTTGGTGCCTTGTTTGTTTGCTTTCTTGGGGAAAGGGGTCCCTGACAACTATGAGATTAGAAGGGCGGCTTGCCGTTGAGAGGTGAAATCAGATCTCATTGGGTCGCCGTGCCAAGAGTACTTCTGCCATGGACAGCAACCCGCTGGCGTCCCCCTGCCACAGGTCCTCCTTGCGGCCTCCGATAGCCAAGGGGCGCGGTCAAGGGTTGCTCTCCTCTTGGTTTCCCTTATGATGTACTTACACTGATTTGAGAATAGATGGCTCAACCCCAGTCGCAAAAAACAGTAGATGGCACATCGGGTCGGGGGGTCGTTTGTAAATAGTAGATGGCACTCCCCCCCCATTTGTTGAGCCATCTACGTCTACTCTCAAATCAGAGTATCTATGTACTGGTAATATTGTCATTTCTGTATGAACCTATATGTTTATCTACTTGGAAAACCTGGGTGGGGACCCAGAACAGGCCCTCCCCTTGTGGTTTTACATTTTGGAGCAACTTGAAGTCTTCATTTACATTTGCTGAGGTGATGAAGGGAAATATACAAAACCCTGATATCTAAAGTAAGACTATATTATCAAGGCACTCGCAACCATAAACAGGTGCAGCCGCTCAAGTGTCTCAATTTGCCGTAGCTTTTGAAGGTAGCATCCTTTAATACTATACCTGTTGGTTTTGTTTTGACTCAGCAGGCACCACGATTTGTCAGGTTGACTTTAATTTGCAACTTATGGCGAGCTCCCCGATCCGCGGAAAAGGTCCTGCGAGGTCCCTCATTTCCACGTTGGGAACTACGGCGCGCAACTTGTGCAGATCATGGGCAGATGTGTTGCAGTTAGTGCCGCGGCTAAGACCTGTTTGCAAGACACCTGTTGACAGGTTGCTTTTGGCAGCCTTTGTCTATGTTTGGACAGAAACAGGCCAGATGGCTAGTTGCAGCGTTCAGATCCTTTCTTGCACCATGCCACACGTCAGCATGAAGGCGAGGTTCTGCACCCGCGACTTGCCAGGCTTGCCCAACATATGGTCTTTTTGAGGGTACCATGGGTACCCCGCTTTGGTGGGCGTTGAAGGGAAACCACATGGAAAACCACCATTTTGTGGGTCGCCTGAATAAAAGACACACCCATAATTATGCGTCCTCTTTAGGGCAGTTTAGTTGAACCTGAATGAATCAACAGGCTTCAATTGGGCACAAAGAAAATCAGCTATTCTCAGCTATTCTTTTCGCGTTTCATGTTTCGTCAGCCTTAGCATAGCACATACTTGTTTAAACGGAAACCGGTTTTGGAGGAGACCTCAGTGTCGATTGCTCGGCTCTCTCGCTCAGATCCCGGCAAATGTCCCGCGCCGCACGGGCCGCGCGCTCTGCGGTGTCATAGTCCTGTCGCCAGGCGCCAAGAAGATACGCTTTGGGCTGGTTACGTCGCACACTTGCCGGCCCCCGTAAAAGTTGCCTTTCTGGCGGTCTCTAGTGAAGCTCCGAAGCAGAGACATGGGCGTGTCATTTTTGAGTTGGCCCGTGTTTGGTGGTTTTGAAAGGACGCCAAAAGGACACACCCCTCACCTTTTTTGGGGATCCGACCGTAAAATGGCACCCTGGAATGGTGGTTGATTGGAAAAAAGCAAAACGCGACCCACGACCCAAAAAACAACCTTCTCAACATGCACCCATTTAAGGGACCCAGAGATATGCGCTCGTCAGTGGCTGCCAGCACTTGCCTTTCTCATGGAAACCAAACTGTTCTACTTCGCGCTCTGGCCGAAGGAGTCGGAAACTGCCAACAGTGCCTTTCTTGAGAAGGGTGGCTCATCTTGTTTTGATGGTACCCTTTCTGGGGTTGGATTGCATGCAAAATGGAAACTAACCATTTTCTTTTGGGGGGGGTACCCTAAAAACACACACACACACACAAGATTCCTGAAACATTAAGGACCAAAACATGAGCCAAATCAGGGAAATCAAAATCGTTAAAAGGGGCATCCAAAGCCGCTCATTTATAAGCATCACTACCCACGTATGTTGCTTTGGCCACGTGTGACTGTAATGAACAAGCGACAGGCGTTTCAAGCGACGCAGCCCTCACCACAGAAAGCACTGGAAGGCTTCTACCAGTATACCACATAGCCATCCAAATAGACCACAACCAAGAAACCAAACCAACAGCAAGAAACCATACAAGACAAGGCAGAGAAAAAAAGAAACAGAAAGACCAGCACTCTGACTACCAGGCGAAGCGACTGGTTCTCTTGAACCCCAAACATGGACTGGGTTGTTTCCTCTTGGGTTGCTTTTCAAGCCAAGAACAAGTGTTGCACCAACTCTAACAAAGACAGACGTTGTCAACGGAACTGGCACCTCAGTTTCCACAAAAATCTTTAAACCAACCTGTTTTTCCTTCTCCTTTAAACCGACCTCCAGAAGAAAAGCCACACAGAAAGAGTTCTCCGCATTTCTCGGTGACTTGCGCGGCTGCGCGCGCGTTGGACACACCGACGGCTTCCTTGTTGTGAAGATGGGCGGAGGCCAGGGACTGGAAGGCCACCCCCTGACACGGGCTTCGACTTCTGTGCCGACCGATCCAGCGGATCTGATGATCTAACGAAAAACGTATATGACCTTGTCTCGTTCTAAACGGGCATTGGCAACTCGGTGCCAAAAAAGGTAGAACTTTTGATTTACCAAAATGGTCCTACCCAAGACTAAGTGCAAAGAACTCGAGTCAGTGAATTGGAGACAGAGTTTCAACCCGAAAGGTTGAAGATGCCGAGTGGATTACCATGGTTGGTAAACTTTAAAGGAAACCTCAACGAAAAGGACGCACACTGCATCGGGGGATCCAACGACAGTTGGGCTCCTTTCGAAACCAAAGGGAACCAAAGAGACGTGTCCGCCTGATCCTCTAGACACAAGGAGCCTCTGCCCGTTGTTCTTTGCCTTTCCCTACGGAACCTCTTTGCAAGATAAACTTAAAATCACTGGGCAAATGCGTATCAACAAATACACCCACAGTGAAACCGGGCTTGGCTTCGCTAGTCAGAAGCGGGTTGTGCCCGTTTTAGCACTTAAGAACCCGCAAAACTGTTTAGCGCCCTTTGGTTTTGGAAACCAACTCATTTGTGCTGACACCACGCACCTTTTGGGCTGACAAGGGTCCGTTTTGAGTAAGCCGGACTTTCAGACCCGGTTCCATGTTAGGAGGGTTCAAGGGAAGTACACCAACAACTTTGTGGGAAATAGAACCATGCTGCCGCATGTTGCTCCGAAGAGGGAGTCATCAAGAAAAACGACTGCAATCTAGGCTTCAATGACACCCCTCCCCGCGCAGTCTCGTCAGCCGTACGCTTGGAGCTCAGACCCCCCGAACCCCTGCTGTGCGAGGCCTTGCCCACTGTGTCCTTGACCTGGCGAAGCAAAGATATTAGCTCGTCACCCTTTCTGAGCAGGTTCAAAGCAAGCAAACACTGGCGGCACTGGTAAATGAAAGTCAAACCAAGCTGCAACCAGTGCCATGTTCAACCAAACCGATCCTTTCAAGGCTCCTTGACCCAACGGGACCTTCCAAAACCCTAGGCTCCCTCACGCTCGCCTCGCGGTGGCTCAAGGCATCGTGGGCCGCGAAGATGGCCTCCTCCATCTCCTCGCGCCTCGGAGTTCGGTTTCCGCGATGAAACGAATGGCCGGCGGTTTGTTTGGTTTGGTTAAAGGGGATGTATTAATGAAGAATTCCCCAAACCGCAAAGATGAGGAACCTTAGACTTGTCATAAAAACGAAGATGAGATATTAGATTTGGGTGAGGGGTGCTTGTATTTCCAAGACCATGAGGATCTTACCCTCCGTTTTTGGGTTTGGTTCAGCGGTTCTTTGTACATGCTCAAACAAATCAAAAATGAAGAACTTGGACCCTCTGGGGAGAAAACTTGGTGGGTTCAGCCAAGCGAGGAGGACGGCCGAGTTTTGAAGGACATCGTCGGCGAACTTTGGACTCCCGAAACCTGAAGGGAAAACCAAGGGAGAGCCACCTTGGACAGACAAGCGGGAAATCTGGAGACTCAAAGCCAAGGGATTCTGGCATTTGGGGGGTCCAGGAGATCAACGGAAAAATTGACCCTGCGGAAAAGGGAAGGACACCATTGACAAAAACGACGGCCTATGAACTGTGAGAGGACACCAGCAAATAGGCCAAGCGTTCAGATCAAAATGCGAATCTTTGAGGATGTGTTTGGATTTGTTGACGGTCATTTTGAGAATCCCTTCCTGCTTCAAACACTTATATAGGGTAGGTGTAGGATGTTACCTCGAATTCAAGGATCTGGGCGCAGGCTACAATCCGTCATTCACTGCATTTGCGAGGGCGCGAGAAGAAAACAAACCAGAACACGTTAACTCGGACAGCCGAAACGGCGCAGCCCGCCCGTTTTCAGCGTCTGGGCTGTTGAGCATTTGACAAACCCAGTATTCCACAATTCCGCTCAGGAAACTATTCGAAGGGAGCCCTCAAATGTAGGGCTTCCCTCTAAACAACCCACAAAATGAGTGTACCCTCGAAAAAAGACACAGCCAAACTTCCGTTTGCTTAAGAAACAAACGTATGTCCAATAGTGAAATCGATTCCCTTTAAAACCAACAAGAGAAAATCAAACATATTCTCAAGCAAATGGAAGCACATGTTCGGGTCGTGCACTCCGATTCGCCCCACTCACCAGCTCAGCCGGGCCATCCAGAACCGACCGAGGAGGCCGGCTTGACGTGTGTGGAAGACAACGCGGTCATGACCTGGCGAAATCGAAATATCTCCTCCCCGTTCATTTTGTTGGTGGGGGTCAAAATTAGGGGGTTGCAAAGTGGGGGCTTTCATTGTTGTTCGCGTGCTTTCTTTCTTTCTTTCTTCCTTCCTTCCTTTCTGGCCCTTTTTCTTGCTTTCTTTCTTTCTTGTGTTCTTCCTTTATTTATTTATTTCTGTCTTTCTTTTCTTTCTTTTTTTCTTGGTGTTTTCTCTTCTTGTTTTTTCTTCTTTCGTTCTTTCATTGTCTTTCCTTTATTGCGTTCTTCCCGATTTATTTATTTTGTTTGTTTTTCCTTTCTTTATTTCTGTCTTTATTTGTTTTCCGTATTTTCTTTCGTTCTTTCTTTGTTTCTTTCTTTCTTGCTTGCTTTCTTTCTTTCTCTTCTTGTTGTATTTGTTCTTTGATGGGGTCTCAAAATTAGGAGTGAAAAGCACAGGGCCAGGAAAAGTGGCAAACATTTCCATTCGGGGGGGATGTGAAGGATTCCCCATGGGGCTTGCTCACTAACTCCTCGTGTCACTTGGGGCTCGAGTACGACTGCTCAAATGCACAACCATCCAGGCATCTTCTTCGTGACCCTCGATATATGCGGACTTGCCTTGATGAAAAGCCTTTGTTTCCAGCCATTTTTGGGCATCCAAAACGGCCTGAGCGCGCCAACCCGTGTCTTAAAATACCCGTTTGGCTTCCCTTTAAATCCAACCACCAAACGGGGCCCCTGATTTTGAGATAGCAGATTCCCCAAATTCGGTCCTTCATGGCCTTCGCTCCCTCAACACACAGTTCGAGCCCCCAACATGGGGTTCGGTTTCTCTTCTGGTTCCCTCCAAAACCGCCCCAACAAGGTACCCACTCAAAAACAACTGGCTGGTGATTGGAACCTCCATTCTGCTCGTTTGCTGTTGATATGTGGGTAAATGGTCATCCCTTGTTTACTCGTCGATAAAACTCGGACAGAAAAGGTACGCGATACACCCATATCGACCATCCCCCACCTGCGCTTCCAGCACAGAGTCGTTCAACCTCGGCACTGTGCCAATCTCAACTCAAAAGCTCGCGGGGTTAGGGATATGCGGGTGTGGTTATGTATGGTTTTCTATACCTGTTTTGCGGTTTGTTCAAAGATCCCCCCTGCCAAGCAGAAGGGGGTAGGGTTCTCTTGAATGGAACAATCAATGGGGATCTCCAGGGGTTCTCCCCCTCCTCGAAACCACCCCGGAGTCTATCTGGGCAAAGACTCAATATTTTTCAGCTGTTGGGGAAAAAGGTCATGGCCAATGGTGAGTCAAGATGCAGCCATGTTGCCCCCGAAAAAGAGGGAAGACGGTGCCACTTAGCCACTGCTCGGGCCCTCGACCATTGATCAGCCGATCACTGCATTAGGCCATCTTTGTTTTGAGGCCACTCCTTTGTGATGGATTTAAAGGGAACCCACAGGACAACAAGCCATTTTGGGGGTCCCCGAGAAAGAACAGACCCATATATCAATCCCTCTGGGTTTGGAGCCGGGATTCCAGCTAGCGCAATGTCCCCTCAGCCCATGAGTGATGAGCTGTTTGCAACATGTTGACCGAAACGACAGGCACGAGAACCCCCCACGAAAACAAACACAACAACGGAAAACAATGTGCTTTATCTCTTTGTGTTGTATGTTCCTACCGTGGTTATTTGTTACTTGCTAATTCTTCGTGTCGTTGTTCTGTTCCCCTTGTCGTGGTTAAACAGCCCCCCCCGGTGAAAACAAGAGTCACTTTGAGAACCGACGGACCCAGATTCAGCACGCCCTCTCTCGTGCGAGTCAAGCGGCTGCCGCGCAATCTGCAGCGCTTGCTGCATGGCGGCTACCGCCTCCTTGGAAGCCCAAGGAGCGTCACAGGCAGGGTTGCGAAAATATTGTTTGGTTCGTCAGTGGATTGCCACAAAACAAGTATTGAACTTGTTGCTTACCACTAAAACGGTCTTCCCAAAAGTATACAAAGTCCAAGAGCTCAAAAAGTGACTAACTACGTAGTTCCGGCTTCTGCCACACCCAGAACACTTGCCTCTGGCGTCAAAGAATCGGAGACGCGACAAAGAGTTGCGACGTCAATTGCAAACATGGCTGGACATAGTGCCTGGAATCCAGGCTTGAAGCCCTGAGGAGTTGATATTGCTTCATGTCCCCGGTAGCTGTCAGAAGCAAATGCCGGCCCAAATCGCGTCTCACGATGAGCCAAAAGCCTCACGAGGGGATTCTCCCGAACTGACGTGCAAAGGATCCCCGATCAACATGCATACCCACGCGAGCTATGGTCGAAAGTATGCGTGTCCAGTCACGGTCGCCTGGATGAGGCTGTTGGTACTACCCCCTAGGATAACACCTTTGTGAAATGAGGCTGTGGTACGAGGCTGAGCCTGGTAGCGACACACCACATCTCATTCTCATAGCTGCAGTTTGTCTAGAGTTCCAACAAAAATGTGTTTGAAGCAGCACCTGTTGAGTCCGCCATTTCTGGTCTTGGGTCTATGAATCAGTCTTTTCGTCAATCCTAGTAGCCAGCCTGTTCTGGTTGCGTTTCAGCGTAGCTGAGTTGCGGAGACTTCTTTCGAAGCTTGTATCCCGTTTGAACAAATTGACTTGCAACAAGCACACATGTATGCGGAAACAACAAAACATGCAAGTGGATCACGACTGAAGAACAACTGTCAGGTTTTGTGTGTGTGTGTGTTGCTTCTTTAAACTTTTTAGCCGGACCATCGTGGTTCAGGACCATGTCACCTGCTGCAACAGAAGAGGCATGATGCGTCGGCTACACACTGACACACTAACGCTCACATCCTGATTGGACTGGCCAAAGGCAGCCGTACTTGGTGTGTGACACTAACATGGCCTTCCACCTCTGAATGGGTGTGTTCTGTTTTGAAGGGAACCCGCTTTCGGTGCTTCTAAAGGAAAACAATGCGAAAAACCACCATTTTGGGCGGTTACCCTGAAAAGACATACCGATTCGATCCCGTTTCATACAAGGCAAAGATCGAGCTTGTCGGAATGGCTGAGCCATTCCTCAGCAGTGTCGAAATAGGAAATCAACCTACAAGGGGCAGGTGTCCAAACACATGGTTTTCCCAAAAGCAATCGTGGTTTTCCTTTTGGTTTCCACTTGAAACCATTCCAAACAAGGCTACCCAACAACAAAACATATACCTGTTTCAACCATGCCTGGGCACAAATCCGACACAAACCGCTCCCCCCCCCCCACCAAACATGGACCGACTCTGCGGCTCCTCTGGCGGCGGCTTCATCTTCATCTGCAGGTCTTGGGGCACCTCCAGGAGGGGGGAAGCTCCAAGGGACGAAGCCCAAAGCAAACAGCCAAACGGCAAAAAGGAATACCCACACCCTCAAACTACCCTCAAAAGGGGAGGGGAGCAATATGTAACCCCCAAACGAGCACAAATTTGTGGCAAACCCTTCTTTCGAGCAGTTTCTGCTTATACGAGCACTTTTTCCTTATTCGAGCACTTTTTAGGAAAAAGACGAATTTCGAGCAGAAATCAACTTCCATGGGATTTAGATGCTTTGGAGCGTGTGAGTTGTGCTGCCAGGGCCCACACCCTCCGCGTAGCAGGGGGGTGGGGCAGAAAATTGCTCGAGCTGTGCTGTTCGGGCAACAAATGCGTGTTTGGTGGAAGCCTAACAAACCTGCACCTACTTGACGCGTTTTGGCATTTTGGGGGGAGCTTGCAACCCGCAACTTCGAGCGCAATTTCCCGCAACTCGAGCGCAATTTCCCGCAACCGAGCGCAATTCTAAAAAGTGTCAGCGGGGTCGTTGTCCCGCGAACAAAAGCGCGCAAAGATATCCAGGTGCTCGAAAATGAAGATGCGCTGTCCACTGTGCACACATGTGACATATCTTGATGGGGTTGTGTGAGGTTTGGCGCCTCCAACATGCAATGATGCGCAAGCAAGGCGCTCACTCGAGCACTTATTTGGCCTCGAGCGCATTTTGCCTAAACGAGCGCTTTTGGGGGAAACGGGCACTTTTTCCTTCGAGCGGAAATTTGTGCTCGTTTGGGGGTCCAGGATTATTCACAGCCAAACGGCAAAAAGGGATGCCCGCACCCTCACAGTGCCCTCAAAGGGGCGGCTATTCCACAAATCACGAGATACCTGCACGATCAAACTACCCTCAAACAGGAGGGCCGGGGCGTGGGGGAATGGCAATAAATATCAGCCTATTCTAAAATTAGCTGGAGATGGTGACCCTAAATCACCTCTCGACATGTTGGGGCAATGTCAACCAATTTATGGGATCCACGTACCAAAACGTTCCGTCAAATAGGAAACCAAGAAGCAGGGAACTAGGAACGGGAAACGACCAACTGAAAACGACGGAAGCTTCATGAAACCACCAACCAAACGCTACAAACAAACGCACCACCAAGGGGGGGGGGGGACAAAAAACGCAAAACTCAGAATCGTGGCGTGATGTTTCCCTTTGCCTTCAAATTCCTTCCCAAAGCCCCCCCAAAAAGTCACCACTGGAGATCTGGGCCAAGTCAGCTCTCTCAGTTGACCCAGGCAAGGTGATCCACCTTTTGGGGCCATGACGGGAACACCGAAAGGTCGAAAGATCGGCAGGCAAGTGAGTTCTTCAACGTTTAAATCAGGTACTGGCCGAGCAGGTGGGAACTTGCGCAGCCACCAGTTGACTGCAGGGCCCCTGAGTGTTTTTGTTGTTTAATCAAATGCAAGGACCGCCAAACTGGTTGCTGTCACTCCTCTGCAAAAAGCTTCAGATTTTGCGGGTTCGATGGAAAGCCCTCGATTTCCCCAAAAGCTAAAGTCCAAAGATCCAACCAACTGGCCATAAAGCAATGGTTGACTTTCCTTTTTGTGTGGTTTCCTTTAAGGGAATCGGGTTCATTCCCATTCCCTACTGAGCACCAGCAAGAAATGCAATCAACCCTTCTAATCAACTCCGGTTGAATATATATATATATATATATGTATGTGTATATATATATATGTATGCTCTTCGAATAAAAAACCACAAGCTGCAATCAACCCTTCCAGAAAATCAACCCTTCCAGAAAATTAACCCTTCCAGAAAATCAACCCTTCCAGCTAAAATGTTTATCTTCAGCCTTGCCACGGCCCCGGTGCCTCTTGCTGCTCTCGCCCAGATGGTGAGTGGCTGTAGCCCTTCGCCTCAGAGCAAAGCCGCGAGTGCGACCCAAAGACCCCGCTCATTGAAAAGCCGGGCCGCGCCCACCAAAACCCGGGCTTCATGAGAACCTATTGCGACAACGGTCCAAGATGTCTTGGAACAGACAAGAATCTGTTTTGGATTCCAAAAGATGAGACCAAGGTGTCAACGACCAGCCATCTCAACAGTTTGGGGGACCCGATTGTCCGCCTCAATAGTCCAGAGGGCATTTGGAATCTGTGTGGAATCCATAGCCATCAAAACTCCGAATATCTGGCCGGAGGGTCCTGGTTCCCTTACTAGGATCAATTGGAGGACCATCCCTGTTCACCCCAAGTAAAAAGTGTTCAGGCGAACGGCCAGCGAGCAGGTTGAACGAATTAACTGTGCGGTTGGCGGCCAATCAGCAGCTTTGCACAAAGCACCCTCCAAGAAAGAGAGGTCACTGGACGTGTCCAGGACTGCATGCAAGCGCAAGGATAGGTTTCCGGGGATTACAACTCGATAGAATCCAAAAAGGACCGCTTATTTCAAGAGCGACCTGATCCAACGAAACCGCAGGTGTGCGGATTCAAAGGAGTTCACAGATTGTTCGATGCCTGCAATCCCGTTTAGAGAAGACATGTGGCGTCGGGCCCAAGATTTCCCGTGACCTTTGATTGAATACCCAGTATATGGCTAGGGCGTGACTTTTTTAGGGTACCATTTTGTGGTTTTAAAGGGAAACCAAGATAAACTTGGAACTTGTTCTTTATTTTTGGCGGGGCGGGTCCCTGACTCACCCATATAGATGGTATCTGTGACTTTGCACACCTTCGTTTGAGGCCATGCTGGCCCCGGAAGTGATCCTCATTGGGACAGCCCTGATTGAGATCAAGAAAGAAGCCTCTCACATTTGAGCCAAGTGCGAACAGTTGATCGGAATTGGTCGATTTCACGAGAGACGGGAATCTTCTGCCTACTTCTTCAGCCACTTCTGAACTATCAAAGTAGCAAACTTGAACTTGAACCAAACCCATAATCAAACCACTATGAACAGGATCACAATCTGGGGTTGCCCAACAGTTGGGAGCCCCCTGTTGGATAGTAAAGAACCACCGAAAGGAACTCGGACCTAACCTCCGTTGAAAACCCTCTTCTTTCCTCACTTCTTGTTTTCCAAATGTCAACCAACCCCAAAAAGTTACTAAAGTCCAAGAACGTAAGTGAGATATCGAGATAACGCGAAGGCACCTGTCGCCGCCGACTGCAAAGCTCCGAGTCCCGTGCCACACAAAGCAGGGCTTGCGCCTGGCAAACCCAGGCGTATGGGTGGCTTGTTTATTTCCTTTTTTTTGAGTTGGTACTTCCTAACTAAGGGCAAAACGGATGTGGTCGGTAGACTGCGGTTACACTCGAACGCTTTAAGCAGGCGAACATGTGCGAACCCGACCAGGCTTTGTGCATGTTTGCGAACCCAATCAAGGTCAGCCGAAGAGGGCAGCCGAAGCTTGCGAACCCAGCCGGCGTTCTGCAAACCCATGGAGGTTAGGCGAACCCTCGAACCCCAGGAAGGCCACGGGGAAGTCGCGTGGGAAGCTGTGGACGAAGCGGCGATCATGCGGGCGGGTTGAGCCTCAACAGCAATGGAGCTATGGAAACCTCTTTGCTCCTTTGCTTGTACCTCCGCGCGTTTCGATCCGTCCCAACACATCCTGCATGTCAATCATGTTTAACTGGCTTTATGATTGGACAAAACATAATCTTTGACTTGCTTGCTGGTAAGTGCGTAGCTTAGGATTGGATTTCAACCACCCCATTTTGCCCACTTGCGATCCATTGGTACCTCGGTGCATGGCCGTTTCCTGTTCGTATGCGTCCCATCCCTCAAACTCCCAGGCCTCCATGCGCCGCTCCTTGCGGTGGCGGTAGCGGGCCACCGCCTGACGATAGCGGTCCCAATGGGTCGGACTCGGAGGCAACGCGGTGTGACATGGCCATGGCCATGGTCGCCATAGGAACCCTATTAGGGATCCACGACCATCCCTGCCAAGTAAACAATTGATTTTTGCTGGTTGTGGTGTCTCGAGTTGGTACCCCTTGTTTAGTGGCTTTAAAGGGAAACCAAGAGGAAAATCGCTTGGCCGTTTTGGGGGTCCCCTACTTAAAGACGCACCCATACGAACTCGACTAGCAATCCACGAACAGCCCTACCAACCATACAAACAGTTAGCTTCTGGTTTGTTCTTTCCCTTTGGTCAAAAGGTTGATCATCTTTTGGAGACATCCAAGGGCCGATGTGGTTACACCAAAGACCGGCGATGTTGAGATCTGTGTCAGGTTGGATTGAAGCAAGGGAAACCAGCAGGAGAAACTTTAGTTTGTTTCAAGATTGGAGAATGGGTATGATCATTTCATGGGGGCTCTTTGGTGGACATCATTTAGATCGGGACCTATGCTCACCCAAATGTTTTGCCATCACAATTGCCCGCACTTGTCTAGTTCTGAAGAATGGGTGAGGGGAGGTATTGAAGGAAGTGGAGAAAGGCTTCATGGTTTTGGGCAAACAGGTTCCCACCATTTTAGGAAACAAGGTCTCAAACGGAGAACAGGTCATGCAGCACACCACTTCAGGTTAGCCAAACTGCTATCAAAGGGTAAACCAAACAGCATCCTGTGAAACCGTTTTGAGCGCTTGTTTGGACTCCGCAGTTGAGTCAAGAGATCTAAAGCAAGTAAAGCCACAATAAAGCATGGTAACTTGCAATTTACAGGATTCACATTGGCACCTACTTGCAAATTGCAAAACGTTGGGAAGCAACCCTATGAAGCACTTTCTAGGATTGGAGTTGTGAACATCATGTCTGTGGGACTGTGTTAAAAGCGGGCGCAAGCTCTCGATGAACGAAGACTGCAAACAGTAGGCGCGTTTTGCGTATAGGATGATTCAAGAGAATGAAGCATACAAGGGGACCCCGAATCATTCGGCGGCTATCCAAACCTTCATCAATTCCGCATGGAGCGCTGCATTCATATATCTAGGTTCTCCAGTAGAGAGATTAGAATAAGGGTACCCTTTTTTCTGTAGTCTATTTTAGTAGGGTCCCCCCCCCCCAAAAAAAAAAAATCAACTACTAAAGACCTAGATATCAAAGTGAGAAGGTAGTGTGCAGACGAGTTCGCAGCCCGGCGCCAGCCTCAATGTAGTTCATGGCTCTCATTGTGGCTGGTTGAAAGGAAAACTAAGGGAGAACCACCCATTTGGGTATGTCTTCTTTTTGAGGGCAACAATTTGGGGTTTTCCAGGGAACCGAAGGCAAGCCACCCATTTAGAGGTTCCTGTGTCATCGCGATTAAGGGAGGTTTCGATTTTGAGGCACGATTTCAACCGTGAAGACTAAAGTGGTATTCGAGAGGCCAAAATCTGTCAAAGAACATAATCTCTTTTTCTTGGGGAGGCTTCCCCAGTTTTGAGACAGACCTAATTTGGGCGTCCCGTTGAATGGATTCTAACAAATGGCTTCCTTTTGGATGCCGCACCTTCGGTGCAAGCGAGTGAACGTTCTCCTGGTTAAAGGAGCGAATGAAGGAACCCCCAAAGGACAAAACGAGCAATGAGAAAAACTTGGGCTGCCCTGAGCCCCCTGCTAACAGCGTAGTGGGTTAAATGGAGACCCAACCACTAAACCAACAAAAAGGCTGAAAAGCTAAGAAGATGACCTTCGAGAGCCACCAGGAAACCTCAGCCGAGCCACAATCAAAACCCGGTATTAAACTTGTATACCCAAAACCTTGTAAAGAATTTGGAAGGCCGCCGCAGCTATTTCTGGTTGGGATCGACTCTTACTAACCTTCATCTACCCGGGTTTTGATTGTGACTCGTCTGTCGTTTTTAAGAAAACGCCTTAAGGCGCCGGCATCCTCTGCCGTCCAGATGGCTCGCCAGGGCTCGCCCCGAGCGATCTGCGCATTGACCTCGGCCAAGAAAACCGAGGCACCGTCCGAAACGTTGGGCTTTATAAAGCTCCAGTCATTGGTTTGAATAGAGGAACAAAAGGGTTTGTATTGAGGGGCTTGTTGTTTTTGGGAGTTTGTTCTCAACGCGTTTCCAAAAAGCTTACCGTATTTTCTCTTTGTAACCCATGCCTTGAGTCTCGGTTCAGGTGCTTGTGTCCGGCGCCAACTCTTCCCCCCCCCCCGCACCGGCAACGGCCTTCCTACGAGACATCATGGGACACCAAAGTGCAAGCCTTAGACATCCGATCGGATGCTCAAAATTCAAGAGCTACCCTCTCTTCTATGTTGCCATATCACCTGACCACAGCTCGCTTTAAGAGGAAATTCATCTTTCCGGTACCTTGCCAGTGCTGTGTCAAGCCATAGGCGTTTGTCTTTGCTGAGCCATTTCCCTAGTGGTGTCATTTTGGGCTCCCTGTTTTTGAGCCACAGCCGAATCCAATTCTTCGGCCAAACGGTCAGAGAGCAACCAAGGGTCCGGAAAACTTCTGGCCAAACATGCTGCAGAGCAACGTTGTCACACCCAGAGTGACTCAAGCCTCACGAGAATATAAACAACCATGGCATTGGTATATTCCCAGAGTATTCGCTTGGATGCGTGAAATGGCGAGTTCCCTCAATTTGCGCAGCTCCAAGAATTCACCCCTGAAAAAAAGAAATCAAGCAAGACAACAAGTGATGCAAAAAACACTCTGCTCGATGATCAAATTCATGTTCATGTACTTCACATGACTTGCCTTGTGTCACAATCATGTAGAGGGCCCAAGTCGTCTTCACACTACGTACTCACACCTCGCTGCCACACCGCAGCAATGTCTCAAGGCACAGGTCACACATGACAATTGCTTCCAGTCATTGTCTGTGCACGTCTGTTGATCAATATTGGCCCCAAAATGATGGGTAACTTCTTCCCGGTGAAAGTCGAGTCCTTGGGGTAACCCTAATGGTCACCCCATGTTTGCCTGACCTTTTGATCAACTTTTCCGTGGATCCCTGTGGCTCGCTTGGGACTGTCTCGCTTTTTCGGATTCTCGGGAAGTGGCTCTCAGGATCATCCTGAAAAGGGCCAAGTCGCGGGGAGGGGTGCAACCCAAAACCACGACACATCTGCAATTCGAGAAACCAACAGAAACACAAAAGAAACAAAAGCAAACCAAATGGAAACCAAAGGAAACCAAAAAGAACCTATACCAATTGTGAATACCTTGTCTTTCCAACCTTGGTATGGTAGCAAACAACTCTGTCTTTTGCACCCCTACCAAAAATGAACAGCGCCAAAATACAATATATGTGTACATATGTATATATATATATATATACACATGCCAATATCTGAAGTTGCGGCTTGATCACGTTTTTGGAAAGGTGCCCTGACCCGATTTGCCGCCCAGCCCGAGCCGGGCTTCCACGCCACCAGATGCACCGCCCGCAGCTCTCGCTGGTCTTCCACGCCGCAGGCGTGGAAGCAGGCCAAAGCCTCAAGCAGAGGTGTCCTGGTTGAAATGGAAAAATCAATGGCAGCGGGGTCAGGCAGAAGCAACTGAAATCAGAGGGTTGACTAGAACCAACTGAAACCAGAAGGTTGATTATAGTCTTTGAATAAGTTTGATACATCCTGCACTAGATCTTGGCGCCAAAGATTCAGTAGATAGTAGGTGGGCGGCTTGTTTTTTCTTATTTGGGTATGGGTCAAAACAAACCACCAGGATATGGACCCCTGGGATTTTGTTAGTCCGGTTCATTTAGGGCAGCCATGTTGGCTACCCTATTGTTGAGCCTCAAGCATATGTCCTTTTGAAATAGGAGAATAGATGGCACTGGTAGATTGGAACCAACTCTAACCAGAAGAAGGTTGATAAAGGTCTTTGAATAGGGTGGATAAATCCAAAACTAGATTGTGCACCTAAGATGAAGCAGCCAAAGGGATCCCCCAAATTGGATTTGTGCGGTCGGTTTGGTTTCCCTTTAAAATCACCAAACAAAGGACCTTCAAGAAAGACACCCAAATGGCACTGGTAGATGAAAATCGAACCAAACTGAACCAGGGGACCGGGACACCCATCTATTTTCAACCAAACCAACCTGACAAGGACACCCATGCTCAAGCGGCCCAAGGATACCAGCTGGCATCAAAATTAGGGGCACCCAAAAGGCGCCAAGTATCGGCACGGTGCCAAAAGGAACCGGCCATATTTTTGACAACTGGAGCCAGTGCAAAATTCACTCAAATACCAACTGATTCTGAGGATCCCCTAATAAAGCAGGTGGTTTGGAGATGTCTACCTTGAGGAGAGGGTCGATAATTGAAGTGGTCGGGTTTGCACGCGCTGCCCTCAAAGGAAACAACTCTTGCCAAAAACGCTGGGTGAAAATAGGGTTCAATCACAAAGGACTGCCCAATCCAGCACACGGGGCCATTCTCATGACCCTCGTTGCTTTGTGCGTTGGTGTGTATGCGTCTTCTTCGGAAACAAATTCACAATGGAGAACCACCATCATCGCTGCGGCACCTCACCCAATGAAGGGCAAGGTGCCAGCTGCTGCTGGATGCAGAAGCAACGCCTTACCCATTAGGCTACTGGGTCGGATGCATCTCTCTTGATTTAATTTTAATAAAGTCAGAATTGGAAGGTGCTGTGACATTGAATGGAATCGTGTTTCTCATACCCTCCCACTACTCAACTGGGGATTTACAATTTGACTAAGGACAGTGATCAACCAGCGATGGTATATGGAAATTAAGGGAGGGTCGGTCGGGGTGGGGGTTTGGGGGGGGGGGGGGGGGTCATTTGCTATCCTCTTGGTTAAAGACTAAAATTTGGTCAGCAAAAAAAAAAAAAACGACCATGAGCAAGCACGAAACAAAATTGGGGGCACCTTTTGCTATCCAACCCGATCGCTACAAAAGATGCCCAGTGACCCTGGCAGCAAAATGGAAGCCTAACTAAAGGGGGGTAAACTCACCGAGCAAACAAAGGGACAGACATCTCGACCTTAAATAGGCGGGGGGGGGGCGGGGGTGGGAGGAAATTGCTTGTGCTTTCGCTTTCGGAATATCTTAAAATGTGGTGAGACCACAAAACACCAAAGCTTTCCAGACGCGAACGTTTCATGTCAACTAGCCGCTGCCCTTTCCAATCCATCCTCCAGGCCAAGGAGGCTCACAAGATTCGGGGGGGTTGATGGGAGGAGACTCGATAGATCCCCAGAAAACGAAAAAAACACCGTCAAGAACGGGCGGCTAAGAGGGCCCGTGCCTGCTTGAACTGCCATGCTGCCCGGAAGCTCATGATGTTAGACTGCAAAGGTGCCATGCAAATCAACGGACTTGATTGTGGGACCCTTTTGGAGGTTGCTCAACATTCTTGGGGCAGCTTCTTAGATAGTTTGGGGCTTAGTATGGCTTAGTCAAATCGTTAGCAACCCTAGTTACAAGCATCTACGAGGGGTTAGCTAGAGGTTTGCTGGTTCACCGCTTAGACACCGCTAGCTCGCGCAGCATCCAAGTGGATGGCTCTCCCATTTAGAGGTGCCTTTTGCTACCCTTATCGAAAGAACAGCACACATCCCAGCCATTTGGGTTTGCCTGAAGGCTGGTGTGCCCATAGAATTTGCGGATTAAACGTGTTTTAAAGGGAAACCAACAGGAACACACCAAAATCCAATTTGCGTGGGTTCCTAAGAAGACACACCTTTCGTTCGGGAGCCCTTACGGGCAATCCAGGAGGTCAAGTTGGGCCTCCGCACCCGCTCCACGGCGACCACGGCCTGCTGGGGCTGGCCACCGTGCAGCAACCACCTGGAAGCGCAGCAACTGGAACTCACGTCCGTCCGATCGAACCAAAACTCAGGATCCACACTTGGCGGTGGGTCAAAACCAATGGTTCCATTTTGGTTGATAGGTGAATTCACCACCCATTTTAGAACCTATTTTAGTGGCTGGAGTGGGATGCTCACTGGGGGTACGGGGTTTTGACCCATGGCCACTTGCCATTTGCTACAACTGACTACGACTTAGTTACTTCCATTTTTGTTAAGCCCCTGTAAAAAGAAACAACACATATGTCCAGTAGTGATAGATTCCTTGCAAAGCCAACAAGGGAAAATACCAAAATAATACTAAGCTAATGGAAGACTAGCATGGTCCCAACCGAAAAAGTTCATCAAAGTCCATGAATGAACTCAGGGAGTGAGTTGCTGAGACGTGGACGTGTCCATGGCCATCTGATGACTTCCTATGATTGGATCCAAAACACACGGTAATCAATAACTTTTGACTTCCTCTCAAATGGTCAAACCCCACAAATTATATACTTCAAGTATGCATAAAGTCCCGGAAGTCGGGGAGTGAGGGACACAAACAATACATTTCTCACGGAGAACCCCTCGATTGGGGTCCGAGAGGAGATGTGTGCTTTGGGATTCCGATATCAATCTGCAGGTATGAATTGAACAAAGCAGATGTTGCTTCTCATTTGGTCAATCCTAAGGTACAACATGCCCCCAGTTTGATACAAATCCCTTCACAGGTATGCTTTAGGTCGTTTTGGTTGACTAAAGATCCCACTTTCAGTTTGTTCCAATCATTTTGACAAGTGTCATCGCGTATTTACTGAAACGCAAGGCCACGTTTTTGGTGTTGCTTTTTGTGTTCCGAGGGGGGGGGGGGAAAGACAAAGGGACCCCGAAAATGTGCAGAACATTGTCTTTGGGCACCCACTGTCTATTTGGGCTTCAAAGGGGCCTTTTTCCATCTCCCTTTGAAACCACCCAGAGGTTTCCCAAAGCAGACCCCCTTAAGGGAACTTGCTAGTGGACATCATTTTGGTCCACCAACCACTTTGGCGGTGGCTCCCAATTAAACTCATAGCCAACAGGTTGGTTGTCGAGGATGGAATGCATTGCTTGGAGACAGAAGGGGCAACTCGAATTGCATGGCCCGTTCACAACAATAACTGACACATGATTTCAATGCATGTGCGTGACCACGTTATGACAACGGCACATCAAAATGCGAGTTCCTCAAGAGGGGCACATAGTACACCTATCAACTTTGCGGCAGGTGGCGTCGAATCAGCGCCCAAAACCCGGGCTGACGGTTAGTTCCAAGGTGGTTTTAAAGATTCACGTAGGCCTTACTGCAACCGCATCACGCCAGGTAGAACCACCTACTAAAATGACCCAGCCTGTCCGAAGGTAGACATGCAACTCACGATTGCGAAAGGTTATTCTGCAAAGCCAACGGCTCCATCAAACTGTCCAAAAGCCAAGCCCGCTGCTCACCCATGAAGATCAGCTCAGCCGCTTCCATGATGGCATCCTGACCGCAGGCTTCTGTAATTCTGGAAGCCATGTCCAGGGCACCTGGTTCACCCGAACACGTGAAATGGATCACCGAAAGGTAACCAGGCACTTGTTGCTTTTGCCAAATGGTCCAAACTCAAAAGTATATTAAGTCCAAGAACTCGGGAAGTGAGGGTATTGAAATGTATGGAAGGTCAGAATTGAATTCCTTGGATTGCAGTCACCACTGACGAACAAGTACCAGGTTGGTATTGCACGAGTCGGCACTTGCGACACAGAAGTCAAGAAATGTCAGACGATGAACAATCCATCGAATCAGCAGTGCGACCAGCAACCCGCCAAAAAGCCCGGCAGTGATGTCTGGCTCGCTGAAGGGTGTTGGCGGAACCCGACAAGCAGAACTCATCAGGCAGTACAGACAGGTCAAAGTAGGGGCCCGTCATGCGGCTTCAAAAAGAAATGGATTTCGTGCCCATCCACATGACCCGCGACCAAAAGCCAGAGCCGGCAAGCTGCACGCGCCTGGGACTGGCGCCAGAAGGACACGGCCTCCCCCAGGTGCCTCACGCGAGCAAGAAGCAAACACCCCAGGCACCGGATTTTTTGGCTGAGCCCGGGACGAACATTTCAGCTTCCCCCTGGGTTGGTTTGGTTTGGTGGTTTGGTGATTTGAATGTTAGGGGCTACCTCCCCCATTTGGTTTCAACTGGAACTGGGGCATTCGACTTCTTGCCCCAAGAGGACATGGAAAGGTGGGCCTGATCAAGCCCCTGGTTCTATGGGCAATTTGGGCTGGCGCCCCATGTGTTCCACAAGCTACACATAGACTACCAGCAATTGCGTCAGTGTTTCAGCTGCATCTCTTGGGGTTGGACAATCTTATTAGACAAACGGGTGGGTGGATATGGGTGTGAGTCAAAACATGGGTGAGTCAAAATGGTGGCTTCCATTTTCCCTTCTCTGTAAGCTAGCCTTAAAATTAGGGGGGGTAACCAAAAAGACACGAGCCCATATGGCCATAATGAGCTTGCTTCCTCTGAGATCAAAAAGTGCCCCTGCCCCCCCTCCCCCCCCCCCACCCCCCGGGTGAAGGCTTCGGAAGCGGACATGGTCTTGAGACTCACTCCTTTCTGTGATTCTGTGATACCCAAAGTAGGTGAAAAGTTTAAAGCCTCCCTCGCAATCACACAGCGTCAATCCGGATTCAAACGTTTCGCGCCCAGAAACTCGCACATGTGGGCAACAAACTCGCCCAGAAGGGGCTACTAAGACACCTTTGGCCCAAACAACAGCTGAGTCCAAATCAACACCAAGGTTTTCAAATGGTCTACCCAAAACCATGCAAAGAATCCGAAAAGGCAGATATCCGCTATGGCAGGGACCGTCCCCATTCATCTACCCGGGCTTCGACGATGCTCAGCTGGGCTGGGCACAAAAAATCCTCACGGAAATGCTCAGTCAATATTGAGGCGAGTTCTTCAATAGGTCGGGGGCAGAACAATTGCCGTCATCCGCTGTCCAAGCCTTGCTTCGAAAATGGCCCACCCAAAACACGGCTTTGCGTTGGTTGAGACCATGGCCAACACGTAGATTGCAGATGGCGTGCAAACAAATCAAGTAAGAGACTTGCTGCGTTCCTCCGCCCCCAAAAAAGCAAGTGTCCATCTAATTTCCATGAATTTGCCATCCATCTTCCATACATCTTCCATCCAACACCGCATCTTCCATCCGTTTTTCCATTCCCCCCCCCCCCGGCCCCTTCAACCCCCCTCCCCTCCCCCCCCCCCCGAAATTTCCCTTGGCGCCCACGCTGAATGGCTTCGGCCAGTTCCCCCAGGTGGCCGCACGCAAAGGCGCACCAGTGCCTCGCACGTCCCAATGGAAGCGCGGCTCGCGGCTCCACTTCCATTTGCTGAAATCAACTCCCTTTCACACCAACAAGGGAAAATGAAAAAAAACTCTTGATTTCAGCAAATGGAAGGTCAGGGGTCACTGGATTCCCCTATAAGTTCATCCATTGTCGTGTGGTTTCCATGAAAACTTCCATGGACCTTCGGGTTTGGGCACTAAGTTTACTAGATGTTTAGCAGCAGAATCCAACCACTGCTTCCATGGCACCTTCTTCTTTCCGGAAAACTGCTGAAGGCCCTGGGCAGCTCTATGGTCTCTCAAAAGAACGAGTGACAAGAATGCGGGGAGCGAACAGGGTATTTAGTGAGTATTCAGTTTAGCCACTAAACCATGCGGATTCCAACCACTAAGTACAATGCCCCTTTAAGTAGAACTATCAAGCTCCATGTGGGTATGGCTCAAATTTAAAGAGCTGGGGCAAACCGCGGGTTTTAGTCTTGGGTCCCATTTACCTTTTGGTGCCATTTTGGAATTCCACTTTTTTGAGCCACAGCCATGTAGGTCTCGCCAGGGAAAAAAAAAAGGAAATCGCTGGTGGCCCCCGGCAAATCAGGGACCCACCCTGGTGAGGCGGTTGGATTCCGCTTGAAAACCATCCCAAAGAGGGATCGGAGACGAACGAAGTTGCCAAGCACGCAATCGCTGAATGAGTTGCTCACTTCCTGAGTGGATTGGCCCAACAAATAGTCCAAGCTAAAATGACGACCAAACCCAAGAAGTGACTCAAGTCCTTGGAAACAAGCAGGGGCCATTGCAAAGTCTTTGAGCCGGGAATGCATCTTCGTACTGGAACTTGTGTCGTGTTCATCCCTTAGCTGCAACATCAAAGAACCTAAACCAAACTGCAGCTGATTGAACGCAGGGTCCCAAACAAAGTCACTGGATTTCCCAGGCCAGTTCTGCTGGGCCGAGCAGTGCTCGTCTGATCCCTGTTGGTCGGACTTTCAAGGCTCGGATCCCCAGCTCCGCGATAGCTTGGCCACGCCTTGGACATTCAATTGGATTGGCCAAGGCCTGAGGAAAAAGATCCATGGATCTAATCAAAGAGGATGGATTTGGTGTCCCATCGATCTCCTCAAAAAGGCTTTTCGGTGTTCCATCGATGGATTTGCCTGATTTACGCCTCTTGGAGTACATGGATGGCGTAAAACCCATCTAAGCCAGTCTTGCCCATCTAGTAATATTTCTCCGACTCACCGATGAAAAGGACACCTAGGCTGGCAACTTCCAGTGCCCTCGTTTGGGCGCTGGAAAGAACCCAAGGGGCGCTAAAGCCAATTCGACGATGTTCTTTTGGACAGGTGGAAGGCTACCCATATAATCTTGACCCCAGATCGCAAATTGGGTGTTCCCTCCAGAAAGCGGGCTGAACCCCAAGAAACGCCATGAGCTCTGACAAGCAACCAAGGGTTCTGCTTTATCCGGGGTTCCCGGAACTTTCTGTTTCTTCAAAAGTAAAAGAAGAAAAAACAACTCGCGGTTCCTTCCCAAGAGCGCCAAAGGGTCCCTTTCGTAGTCAAGGACACAGCCCTTTCAGGCGAGACTACCTGGAATTTCCTTCTGGACTGGTGTCGGTAAACATTTTGGAACACCTTGGCACAAGGGAGAGGCGGTTGCGCCCAATCAACCTGGACACGCGTCGTTGTGTCAATGTTTGAAGGGTACGAATCAACCAGGGTTTGCACTCCTAGGCCTTTCAAAACAAGATGAAACCGCAAAAAACATGTCCAAAGAAGCCGTCCTTTTTAGGGACCACCTGTTTGCCATTCCATGTTATGAGCTAAGTTACACCAAGGACCAGAGATAAACTGTTCAACTTTTAAACTGTTCGTTCCATGGCTAGAAAGGGGAACCCACATCAGGGAAACCAAAAGGTTACAACGTCAATTCGCATTGGGCATGCCAGTGATCAACCCCGATTAAAAACCGTTCTCAATGAGCGTGGTTTGCCTAACACCAACACTTTCTGCACAAGGAATCGTAGGGAAATCGGCCGCTCACCAGTTCCCTCAGGTTGTTCGACCCCTAAACCTCCAATCCCTGGGAACGGGAACCCCCTTCCAGGTGCAACCACTTCCGGTGAGTTTTCGGAATGCAAAGGGAATGCCTCTTCTCAGGCAATTGGTGGTTTGGATTGGTGTGGATTGGATTGGTAGATGGGAAACAACCCCCCAACCAATTAGAAGAAAGCTGATCTTCGATTTCTTGCAGGTCAACTGAGAATGCTTGCCATCCCATCCCCGAGATCCCTTTGAGGCGTCCAAAGCTACTCAGTTGCCCAGTTTGGACCCAGAAAAAAAAAGTGATCACCCTTTGGGGCCATGACTAGAGATGGGAACCCAAGGGGGAAAACTCACAGGTCAACAGGTCGATTCGCAAGCGAGCTAAAGCTAGGCCGCAGCCCCCCCTCCCCCCCAAAAAAAAACTCGGCCCCCAGGCACATCTTTGGTCTGCTGATAGAGCTGCAGCGCCTGAAACTTCGCCAAAAACACAACGCAGGTGTGGTATCTAGAGTAGGGACATCCGTTGATTGAGAACGTGTTTGCTTCTCTGGTTGTGAGAAATCATCCCTTTGAAGCCAGTGTTCTATCATGTGCTTGCCTCAGCCTGCTGTACTTGCCCCATCTAGACAAAATCAGAGCAACAAGAATACAGTCCGGACATCCAGTTGAGTTGGATAATTATGCACAATGCACCCGACATCCCTGCCTGGCTCTTCTGACAAATCGCCTCTACTGTGTAATCCGAGGCATTCAGCTCCAATGCTCAGCCCTCGCCAAAACCATGTTGAGAGTTCTTATGAGCACCCGAACAGCAAACGGAACACTCCCAAGAGACAGCCCATATCTGATGAACCAAGAGATTCATAGGACAAGGAGTATTTCCTACTAGACATCTGGTGCAGCTTGACCCTAACCAATTGCTGGGAACACTAAAAGATGACAGGGATTGAATCCCTTAGGGTGGTAGGTACCAGGGGGGTGGGTAAAAGAGAGCTGTAGGGTTTGTTCGAGTTGTCTAGGGTTCTTTCGGGCGCTTAGGGTCCAGAAATGAATGGCCATTGTCCCTGTAGCTCCCGGCACCGACTATCCTCATAGGGCTGGAAACCATCAAACGCCTCCTCCATACTTCGTGGGCCTTACAAATGGCCCGTTATCCGTGTTCAAATGAGATCCTAGAATGTCAACAATGTATGTTGTCTCTTGGTTTCCCATCAACCAACCCTCAAAAGAGGGTACCGAAACCCGGACAGGATGACTGATTTTAGAGGGAAACCAAGGAAAACCAAACCAACATCGCGCTTGAGGTTTGGATGACTTAATTTGGAGTATCAGGGGGACCCCCCCCAGAAAGAAGGATTCCTTTTGGCTTGCCTACCCTCCAAAAACGACGAGCCATCCAAATGTTGACTCGCCAAAAAACCAATCCGATCCCCGACTCCGCAGGCTTCGCCTGCGAGGCGAGTCGGTAGGCCTCCTTTCCGCAGGCCTTCCGGTCCTGAGTCGTCTGAAAACGGAAACGGCTCGGTCGGGTGCAACCGGTGGGTTTTTGTCTTTTGACCCCAGAATCATAAACCAGTTCTATGAATAGGGGGTTGAACTCCCCCAGTGTTTATTTGTGTGAATTCATGTTGACCCCGTAGATCCCCCAGCAAAAAGTGAACAACTTGTTGCAGGTTGAAAGAAATATGAGGGATATCCAAAAAGTTACAGCCTAAATATCCAACCCAATAGCAGTAGAGAGATGCATAAACTGGTTCTATGAACCTCCAAAACTGGTCTGAATCCCCACTGAAATGAGACCCCGATTAATTAATCAACCAGGGAATTGATTTGTCCGGAGTCGACATTACCCTTTTTGGGTTGATTAGGGAAGCCACAATTCAAACCATTTTGTTGGGGGCCCCTCTATTTTGACACAGTGAACCGAACGGTCAGACAAAAATCGCCTGCAAGTTGCAAGTGACGGGTGGCCGGGAGAGAAACACCCTTGACCTTGGACTCTGTGGGTCCGTAAAAGACAACGAAAAATAAAGAAACTCTTGGGGTTCTGCTTTATCTGGGCTTCCCATGAAAACTTCTTCAGGCCTAAGATTGCCTTTCAAAAGCCAAAACCAACAAGGCTAGGTTCCTTCCCAGTGCCTGCATTGCCGGGTCCCTTTGGCAGCCGAAAAGGAAACAAGGGAAGCTTTGCACTGTTTGCGAAGCTGTTTCATAAAAGTGGGTGTTCTGCATTGAAACACCTGCGCAACATGGGACTGGAGCAGCTGAGAGCAGCTAACCTGCAGTCAATTCAAAGCTGAGTCGAAAATGCATGGCTGCCGCAGCCCGATTCCCAACATCTCGTCAAATGGCATCAGTTCACCTCGCGCTCACTCCAGTTGAGTTTGACATCTGTTCAAGTCTCAGCTTGGGAGGGAGCAAATATTCATGCACGCCATCCGTCATGGTCACATTCAGAGATTGATCCCGGACCAGGATTGCACGGGGCTTCTCCGGGCAGGCGGCCATGACGGTGGCCCACGCGCAGTCACCTGGATCATAGTTGGCCAAAAGTTTGCTTTCGGCAGCAAATCGTGACCGGGCCACCCCTGCGTTGGTGGGACCTCTCCAACTACGACTGGCTTTGCCTCACCTGGACGTAGGCACAAAATGCGAGCATCACGCACATCATCACCAACGTAGAGCACCTCTCGAGTCAGCAAGCAGAACGATCCATTGTGTGAGCAGAACACATTGTACAAACCTGCATCATCATCTGGACTAAGCAGCACTTGGCCATGTTCGTTCTGAAAACTAACCTGCCTATGTTTGTCTACTTCTGCTAGCAAAATCTGATTTGAGGGGTAGCGGGGGTCGGCCACAGGGCCACCATTTCCTGCGACGACGACTGGAGGCTGCAGGTCATCCTCATCGGATGGTTCCCAGCGCCAAACACTACCATTCCAGTCTGCGCCGTACAAGGCGCCCTCATGCCAACACAGTGAATCGCACACATTGGGCATCACTATGCGTCCAGAAGGTTCGCAGCTGGCGCCCAACTCTGTTAACCAATGCTGGGAGTCCCAGCTCGATGGAATTCCAAAGCTTCATTGACGCTTCTTTCCAGCTCGTCACCGCATGGGCCCATTGAAAGAGCCACGAGGCTTGCTGATGATGGATTTTCCGAGGAGATCGCTCGGAAATCAACCAATTGCAGTAACACACCTAGGACCTCATCGCCAACTTTGGAACTGTTGAACCATTGGAAGATGGCCATCCTCCCTTGAGACGTGTAGATCTTCTCTCTGCACAATCCACATCAGCTGGGTCGCGCTTAGCTTCCGAAAGTCTTCATGCTGGATGCAAAGCTTCGCTCCACTTGGATAACTTTGGTATATCGTAGGCATCTGCATGCAATCGTCCACTGACACCTCTGGCTGTCCGCCATAGATGTAATCAATCAAGGCAGACAATGCAGCCTGCAGCGCCAGAAGCATCTGTTTCCACTGGCTGTCCCTGTTTCACCTGGCCCCTTTCCAAAAAGGAGCCACTGAGCAGAGTAGGACTGCCTTGTGGGAACCATGCTCAATGCCGTCGCAGCTGCGCAGTACAACATCACAAAAGATGTCTTCCTTCCACAACTTTCGCAGATGGCACAGGATGCCAGCCTCATGCTCCGCCAGTTCTGGATGTTCCAGCTTCACAGCCACGGCAACTTGACACAAGTAACCTTGCATCTGGGTGGAGTTGCTTCGGATTCTGTGGAACTGTGTTGGATCCTGATGGAATGTGGGCAGTGGCACTTGTTGGATGGGTACCCCTTCAACCCAAACCTATTGGCTGCCGACAGGGCCTGAGTATAAAAAGCTAACCTTCAGGCTTTGGTCGGTGTGGCTTGCGACGTGCATCTGAATGTTCTCTGGTAAGTGAGCAGAAAGCCTTGCTCTTGTCCTCGCTTCCCCTTGCTGACACGGCTGGTTCATGGAACAAACCCATCTAAACCAGTGCCATCTAGTTCTAAGCAAGCTAACTTGTTTCGACACCTTCCCAGCCTCAAACTGGCAATGAAGGAATTCGCTCTGCTGGTTCTTCATAACCCGATATTCTCCGCCTCTTCCATTGCATCTGAATGACCCTTGCATCTTTTGCATGTTCCGAACTACAGAGATCAACGCAAAACAAATCAGTCAACACAACGCCGCTCTCCAAAACAGCTTCGCCTTTTCAAGGAGCCAATGTGATGTCAGAGTGCACACAACGCGTCACCAGCACATCAACCTTGCGTGTCCATCCTACACCTGCCCCGTCGACAATCAACACTCTTCTGAAAGTTTGCGCTGAAATCCATGCACCGGCAGCGAAAAAGTCCGAGCAACACCAGCATTAAACACCCGAAGGTCGCTTTAACCTGGGCTGAAAGGGCTCCCTTGAACTTTGTTTCAAGTTCATTCCTGGTGTCATTGAAGGGGATGGTTCTCGGGTCTTGCTTTGGGGCGATTTTGCAAGGAAGGGTTCATTCAGGCCGGCTGGAAATGACCTTCCCGCTGCCACATCTAGAACCACAACTTCGTCACACTTAGGTTCATTCATGTGAGGGTCGAAGGAGTGAAACTGAATCTGTCATAACTTTTCAACCATGGCCCTCTTAGAGCTCTTTTCGGCCCGCGACCCCGCGGCACGGCCGTAGGGCCCCGGCACCTTTGTACTTGACGAAGATCCGAGCCTCGTGGTGCGATGGGCGGTCAGGAGCTTCTCGCAAATCGCCAGAAAAAGCTGCAAGCTAAGCCCAAGCCCCTCAGTTCACGCCCAGCTTGGCCCCCTGGAATCCCTAACTAGACTTGTTAACCAGGGCGTGGGGAATGACCACTTCTGTGATACAACGGAAAGGGCTTCCCAAAGACTATTTTCTTCATATAAAGGGAGATTCCCTTGTATCACAGAAGTGGGGAGAAACTCCTTGATCCCATAACCCTGTTGTTAACCATTTGGCTAACCATCCATATAAGTCAACATATAAGGGCCTGCGTGCCACTCGCGAATCACGTTGTGCAAAGGCTTGCCCTGGCCTGGGTGCAGCTGGACAAGGTACTGAAGAATCAGAAGCGCGCAAGTTGATCAGTCTAGGCAATCGAACATGTCAGCTCGAGGCTGTGCAAATCCTCGGGCATTCGCGCTTGAGTTTTCTTCAAATATGGAACCTCCAACAGGGGCAGTTTCCTTTTGGTCTCCCAAACAGCCAAAAGAAGAATAAAGATCACCCAAACAAATACACCCTTGGGACATGATAAACGGTATCCCCTCCCCAAGACAAGGACTCTGGAATCCTGTACATCCAGTGATGGGGCAAATCACGACATGAGCGCTGTCAAAAAGGAAACCGGCTTGCAGTACTCTTTGGCTTCCTGTGTGTCCTTCCATCCAAAAAAAGAAACAGGGTTCAACTGTTGAGTACCCCAAGACTCCACCACCACCACTGGTTCATTTTTCCCAAGATGTAAAGGGCAAGGGTCTAGATAGAATCATATAGAATCGAAATTTGGGGGTGGCTTCACACCAAGCCTAGCCATGTGCTATTTTGGAGTCAACTTACCACAGACCTCGGACGACGCCCCCGCTGACGTTTGTGGGGCTCCAGCCATGGTGGCCAACGTGGAGGCCTGCAGGCCTCGGCTCCGCTCGTTCTCTCACGTCACTTATTTCGAGTCGGAGCTGCGATGTTCCCGAATCATTTGCTGAGAAAAACTGTCTTTTTTGCGATGTCATTTGCTGTCTTTTTTGGTGACTTGACACATTTTCGGACCAAAAAGAAGATGGCCTGGATGTATTAAGAGGTCTGTGGGCTTAGTGGGACAATCAGTGAGGCCACGTCCTTTTTCGGGGAACATGGGCGTGGGAAGATGTTCGTGGCCCCTGTTATGAGAAAATATGAGTCAGTTTCCTGGCTCGTTCTGTGGGAAACTGACTAAACCAGTGTGCTGAAAATATATTGACTAAACCGTTCGTGGTAAACACGTGGCGGCCCATGCATCAAGAAAACGCCTCCAAAAAACGCCTCCAACATGTACAAAGCAAGTTCTCGTACACTGGGGTACCCCCCCCCCCACTCGTACATTTGCCAAAGGGGTGGGCAGGGAAAAACAAGCCCTTCTCCTAGGCCATAACATTTAATCAGCTTTCTTTGCTTTATTTTCCAAACATTTGGGCATCGCTCACACATCAGGAAAATATTGGTAGGCATTTGAGTTCCTCCATTTGCCTAAGTCCCCTGGAAAAATGACACAAAAATACGGGAAAATAGAAAACAATTCCTTTTAAAACCAACAGCGCCAAATCAACAAATCGTCCGAAACGCAAAAAAGCGATCGAGGGTCTTGGTGTTGCACAGAGCTCGCTCGCGCTTCTGGGGCTCCGGTGACACAGTTTGTGCCAGTGGAACCCATTTGGTGAGTCTTTTCCAAATTGCCACCCAAAAGATGTTCACTTTGTCTCCAGGTGTGTGTGTGTGTGTGTGTGTGTGTGTGTGTGTGTGTGTGTGTGTCTGCGTGTGTTTGTGTGCGTGTGGGTTTCTTTGTTTCTTTGCTTGTTTGTTTTAGGTGACCCCAAAATAGTGGTGTCCATTTGGTTTCCCTGTAAAACCAATAAAAAAAGGGTACAGGTATCCCTGTCAAAAGACACACCCAGGTTCTTCGGTTGCAAGTGAGTCAGTTTGCCTCAGACTACTTTCACTTTGGTGCGAGCCTGCGAGTCATTGTGCTTTCAGGCAAATGTCAAGAATCACTCCTCGGTAAGGAGGGCAATCCGTCATTGCCCTGTTGCTCTTTGTCAATATTCTTGAGATATTGGAATCAACAAACTGAACGCGAGTGTGTTGCTGAATGACTTGCATACTTGGAAGACAAACACAGGATCCTCGAACGAACCCTGATGTGCAACGCGCAAAGCCTCATCACAACATGCAGGCCCCAACGCCACGCATTTCAAGACCAAAGCTTTCCGTCCGACCGCCCCCCATTTGTGCATCTTCTGTTTCCGCTTCGGCTTCCCCTTGTTTGGAAGTTTGGATTTGTGCTTTGGCGGCTAGAGGGTGGCTTCCCAATTATCCTCTACAAGAACCAGGGTTCAATTCCCCAAGCCACCAATCCAAACTACTAACTAAGGGTTACATGACTGTTGAGAAGGCTCCAATTGAAAAGAACACCCTCAAAACAAGGCCGGCCTTTGGAAGTTCTTGAGAGCCCTGTGCCTGGCAAATGCGCCCATTGGCTTCCCTTCAAAACCACCCCAAAAAGAGTACCTATGCACAACTGAATACACTTATGGGCTGGGCGTTGAAGAGAAGCCCATGCTGGGTGGAATCCTGGTTGTTTATCTTATTCTGTGGGCATGGGAAGACATGTGTATGGGCGTGTCTTCCTTCAGGAGAACCCCCCGCCGAAAAGAAAGAAAGAAACAGAAACATGTGTTTTTCCTTGTGGTTTCGCTTCAAAACAAACCAAAAAGGGGTACCCTCAAAAAGAGACACACCTATAATATCTACAAACGCCCATTTGCCAGTCAAATGGCTCTTATCATCGCCCTTCTGGGATTTGGTTCCCTTTTGCGTCCGAATTTTCCCCAACACATAGGTTTCGTCTCGCAATTCCCTCGACTAAGCTTCAGGCCTACGTCGGCCTCGTCGATGGCCATCGTCCTGGCCTGTCCCACCTGGGCTGGAAAAAACGTGGCGAACCCTTGTTTCAACCAAGACAACTCTTGGAGAATCCTCTGGACAACTCTTGGACCCGTAGACAACCCATGGGTGCAGTTTGAGGGCCTTGACGCAGTTTGATCACCTCGCTGGGTGCAGGCTGGCTTCGGGGTTGGCTCTGGGTTTGGGCTTGGGTTTGGGATTGGGTTGGATACGTCTAGGCTGGCTTTGGGTGCTTTGGGGTTGAATTTGAGTTTGGGTTTGGGGTTGGATTTGTTTAGGCTTGCTTTGGGGTTGGCATTGGGGTTGGGGTTGGATTTGTTTAGGCTGGCTTTGGGGTTGGGGTTGGATGTGTTTAGGCTGGCTTTGGGGTTGGGTTTGGATGGGTTTGGGCTGGGTTCACTCTGGCGGGATGCGCTTGGGCTGGGTTCAGGCTGGCTTTGGGGTTGGGTTTGGATGATGGGTTTGGGCTGGGTTTGGGTTTGGGGTTTGGGGTTGGGTTGGTGTGGGGTGAGTTTGGGGTGGTGACTTGTCAGAACAAGTGGGTGACCCAAGGTTTCGCAAAGGCAAACATTGTGAGGAGGAGGTGTCCCCGGTTTTTAGGCAAAGGGTGACCCGTGCAATGTGTTCTAACAAGTCGGGTCCCGATATTTGTTTTGCGTTACAAGGGCGAGCCAAGCACGAAGGGGAATAACCACTTAGTAGGTTCCCACATTTCGAGACCTTTAAGTGCCCTTAAGCATCACCCCGCCGAGAAACTCTATGAATTCGATGCGTTGCCCGCAACATCTCGCGAAAGGGAACCCTGCAAAGGAACAACATATCAACCGATGAGCCAAAACAAGGCATTTTCCGAGTGGAACCAAAACAAGTCCGAACTGTTCAATGTACTAAGCTTGTCCTTTGTGAAACGGAAAAAATGACTACTAAAGTCCGAAACGGAACTCAGGGAGTGAGGCTGGGCGATCCGGGAGATCTGACGGATCAACTTGGCGGCCCTGCGAACCTCAGAGCCTCCTCTCGCTTCTTCTGGCCTCGCCTGGCCGGAAGCAAACGCGGATCCCGACCCGGGGGGCCCGACAAGCGCGAATCGGCCGGATGGTACCTCTTCGGTTTGCCCGTTTGGGATCATATGTCCAGGTCGCTGGGCAAGTGAGAATGGGAATATTTGCTTGAGAGGGAACCCTGTTGGTGAGCATTTACATGGCACAAAGAACAATGCAAGACGGGTCACCAAAAGCGGGTTTAAAGTATCCATTTGCTTTTAGTCCCCTGAACAAAAATAACAAATCCAGTAGTGATAGCTTCCCGTTGAAACCAACAGGAGAAATAAACATACTCTTAAGCAAAATGGAAGAAAAGGGGACCTGTGTTTGCCCCGCCCTGAGAAATTCGAGTTCAACCACGCACACCTTGGTGGTTATGAGTTATGAGCGAAAAATCAGCCGGGTGTCTGGGCCAAGCGCTGCGTTCCCCAGGTGCCTCGTCTTTTTTTTAGGGGCGCCCCTAAAATAGCGGTTTCTCCTTTTCGTTGCCCTTTGAAAACCACAAATGACGGATACCGAGGCGGAACAAAAACACCCTAGTCAATATTGTTTGGTCGGGACTAACAAAATGGGTAGTCTCCTTTTGGTTTCCCTGAGCTGCCAAACAAGGGGTACTGCCTGCCGAACGCGTGCATTGGCCAGAACAAGCAACTTGACGCTGCGCTTGCCACTAAAATGGCCACCAAACCCACGGGGCACCGCTAAAATGCGGCAAAAAACCCTTACCCTTCACGGGACGACTCTCGTCCGAGCAGAACGGGAGCTGGAGGACGAGCCCCGCGCTCCAGTCCCGTGGCCCCAAGATTCGGCCAAGAACTGGGGAGTGAGACAGTCACCAGTGGCCGGGAAAACCCAAAGGAAACCACATCTTAAGCAAATAACGATATCAGATGGGTCGTTTTAGGGAAACGTTCGTTGGTGGGTTTTAAAAGGGACATGAAAGGGACATCTTTACTTTGGTGGGGTGCCCCCGAAAAACTGCCCAACAGCATGTCTGAACATGGGGACTCCCAAGCCTCCGCCAGACTTCTCGGAAAAACAGTGGTTTTTTTTTTGTCGTTTTCCCCCCCCCCTTTTTTTCCGCTGGTTGAAAAGGATAAAGAAACAACATATGGGCGGGTCGTGAATTTTTAGGGAACTCCCGTTTTGGTTTTATAAATGGAAGCCAACTACAGCACCAAAGAAAGTAGGGCTTCCCGAATTTTGAGACAGACACATTTATCTGCTTGTTAGAAACAAGTCAAAATC